TCCGATGCACAGTTTTTAACAGTGCTTTGAAGGAATACAGTGTTTCGGACTGAAACACTGTTTCCAACAATGGTCGTTCGAGCGCGCCGTTTCACGTGCGCCTTTTCACATTGCACAAAGCGCCGGAAGCAAGTGCAATATGAACGGCGTGAACCGCCACATTGGCGCGCGTATGAAGGCGGCGACGAACGCGACGACCAAGCCGGTTGTGCCCGGTCGGCGCGTGCCCAGCAAGAAGCCGCTTTTAGCTTTGCAGCAGTATGAAACCGGATACAACGAGCATCAAATTGATGGTGGCGGAGCCAAGCCGCTGCGCATGAAGTCGCTGCGTCAGCTTTTGTCGCCGCGCCGGGGGGGCGTCCGCGAGTCCTTCTCGCATCTCAACACCAAGCTGCGCGACTCGCGCACGTATGTGCTCGACCCCAAGAGCGCCCGCAGCATTCAGTGGGATATCTTTATGGCGTGTTTAATTGCGTACAGCAGCATCACGGTGCCGTTGTATGTGGGCTTTCCAGGGTACGTGCGCGCCTATGTCTATAACTTAGATCTGAGATAGCTTTCAAGTCACGAGTCATTGGACGTCTGTGGACGATACCATTGACGTGTGTTTCGGCATTGACATTGTGCGCAACTTTCTCATGGGCTTTTACGACGAGCAAGACCTGCTCGTCGTCGACGTCAAGCAGATTGCCAAGAACTATGCGCGGACGTGGTTCCTTCTCGATTTGGTTTCGACGTTTCCGCTCGAAGCCGCCGTGAAGCTCTTCAACCCGTCCGTGGTCGCCAACGGGCACTCGCTCGCGTCCGTCCAGCTCCTCCGCATTCTGCGCGTGACGCGCATCCTCAAGCTCGCACGCCTTGCCAAGCTGCGCGTCTTCTTCAAGCGCGTCGAAGAAACGTTTGGGGTCAACCCCGGTGTCGTTCGCCTCGCGCGGCTCATCTGTGTCGTGCTCTTCCTCGCCCATGTCCTCGCCTGTATGTTTCACTGGATCGGGCAGCCGCACGACCCGACAATCGCCACTTCGACCCTGCGAGCGCTTCGCATCGCGACAGCGGCCTTGCCGTCAACGTACAACCCCAACTCGACGTGGCTTGTCGAAAGCGGGACTCGAGCCCGGTCCGATAGCATCCGGTACCTCTACTCGCTCTACTGGGTCATCATGACCTTGACGGGCGTCGGGTACGGCGACATCTTCGCAGTCTCGGTCTCCGAGCGCGTGTTTGCGATCTTTGCGATGATGATTGGCGCGTCCGTCTTCGGCTTTGTCATTGGCAACATCTCGTCGCTCCTCGAGTCGATGGACACGCGCGCCGCCGTGTACCAGCTCAAGATGGCGCTGGTGAAAGACTACATCCGTACGCACAAGTTGCCAAAGGACCTGCGCACCAAGCTCTCTCGGTACGACCTCCCATCTCGGTCTTGTCATTTGAGAAAACCGCGTAGGTACTTTGAGCACTACCTCGCGCGCGCGTCGCTCTTTGACGAGTCGTCGATTCTGAGCGAAATCCCGCTGAGTCTCCGGAACGAGATTGTGCATTTTACGTGCCGCGACATATTTCTGTAGACTGCAACCGAGGGGGGCTGTCACGCTGACAGATCGTTTTAGGATTCCAGCGTTCGCGTCCATCAACGCGCAGTTTGTGATGGACATGGCCATTTGCATCAAGCCGCTCTTCCTCCTCGCCAAGACCGTGATTGCAAAGGAGCGCACGGTCGGCCGTGAAATGTACTTTCTCAACTCGGGCATTGTCGCGGCCTCCAACGCGACCGTGTACGGCAAGATGGTGCTCATCGAAGTACTCACTGAGAACGCGTACTTTGGCGACCCGCCGCTGCTGTTTTACACGCTGCGTGAAAACACTTTTACGTGCTTGACCAACTGCGAGATGTATACGCTCGCCAAAGACGACTTTGACGTGCTCCTCGAAGAATACCCCGACACGGAGACCATTCTCGTGCAGCACTACCATGCGCGCAAAGCCAAGTACAACGAGACGCTGAGCACGATGCTCCAGCGCTTCAAGGTACACATCTCCCGCCCATAGAATTGCGTCGAGCGCAGAGCTAGATGTACGAAACCTTCAAAGACGATGTGACCAAGGTCCACCGGCTCGAAGACTTTTGGCCTAACTTGCGCATTTCGCTCAACGGAAAGCTCACGACGATCGAGCAATTCCCCATCGTCGTGCTCAAGCTCATCACGCACTACATCAACCCCCGCGGCGTCTCGCTCTTCAACTCGACGTTCGCCAAGCGTGTCGTCCTGGACGGTGCGGTCGTTGTCATCGCAGCGTCATACCCTGACGTCATCTAGGTCTCAAGCCAAAGTACGCGACCGCATACACGTCGCCAGGCACGTTGCGTGCGATCATCCAGCCCTCGGACCCGCGAAAGCTGCGATGGGACATCTTCTTGGGTGTCCTCATCATGTACAACGTCATGAATATTCCATTTCAATTTACGTTCCAAGGCGGGTTTGTGGGTGACGACACGCGCTCTCCAAGCGTCATTGTACGCGCACCGCTGCGATACTTTAATAACGCGTGTCTAGGTGTTTGACTACATTGTCGACGTCCTCTTTGGCATCGATATGGTGCTCACGTTTCGCACGGCGTACATTGACGACGACGGCCAAGTCGAAGCGAGTCCAAAGTACATTGCGACTCGGTACCGGCTCTTTGTAGGCAACCGCCCATTTCAGGTGGTGTAGGTATCTGGCCTGGTGGTTTTGGATCGACTGGATCTCGACATTCCCCTTTGCTCTGATCGCCGACGCCGTGACGTCGACCGGCGTCAGTAGCAACAATAGCACCCTTTCGGCCGTGGGCGGCTCAACCCAGCCGTTCCAGAACCTCAAGCTCATTCGCTTTGTGCGCCTCACGCGGCTCCTCAAGCTCATGCGCCTCCTCAAGCTCAATCGGTCGGTCACCACGATTGAGAACATGCTCGACCTCAACCCGGCCGTGCTCAGCCTCGTCAAGCTCTTCATTCAGGTCCGACATGCCTCCGTGTCCATGAACTGCATGGAACGAACGTAGGTGTGCTTCATCGCCCACTGGTCGAGCTGTGCGTTCTATTTTGTGGGTCAAATCTCCGAGACGTACTATGGCGACTCGTGGATCGGCCCGCTCTTGTGGTATGCATCCACGCCAGACAAGTACATAACGTCGCTCTACTTTTGCTTCACGACCATGGTGACGGTCGGGTACGGCGACATTCTGCTCGTGACGCCGATCGAAGTCGGCTATGTGATCTTCTACATGCTCCTCGGCGCCTCCGTCTTTGGGTACATCATTGGCTCCATGTCGTCGCTCGTCGATCAGCTCCAGACGCGCGGCGTCGTCGCCAAGGAGAAGACGGACCGCGTCAAGGTGAGACTTGAGCTCTGTTAAAATCATGATCGAGGTCGTGTAGGACTATATGAAGGAGCGCAAGCTGCCCAAGGCGCTCTGCACGCGCATTCGCCGGTACTATGAATTCTACTTGGCACAACAAGACGACGGAACCGAGCTCTTGAGTGACCTCTCGGACGACCTCCGGACGCAGCTCGTTTTGTATTTGAACCGCGACGTGGTCTCCAAGATCCCGTTCTTTGCGCGCCAAGACGACGCGTGCATCTCGTACCTCATGGGCATTCTGTACCAAGAATATTGCACGCCCTGCGAATATGTCTTCCACGAAGTAGACTCGTTCGTACCGCTTTGTAGTCCATGCATGGATGCTGCTAGGGCGAGTACGGTCGACACATGTATTTTCTCGTCAAAGGCACGGTCGAGGTGCTCATTCATGCCGGCACGCCGTCCGAAATGCTCTGCAAGGTAGGCCACGTCGCACGCTCCGTCTTATGCAGCGCAGGTCTTGACCGAGGGCTCGTTCTTCGGCGAGCTCGCCATGCTCCTGAGCTGCAAGCGCTGTGCGAGCATTCGCGCCAAAACGTTTGGCATTCTCTACGTTCTTAGCCGGAGTGGCATGGACCACATCCACGCCCACTACCCCGGTACGTGGCCGTCGTCGATCCTGTTCATGACGATGGACGTAGAGATCTCCAACATGATCATGGCCGAGATCAAGCTCAAATTGCACAAGATCCAGGAAGAGACCGTCGAACGCATGGAGCGCAAGAACGTCGCCAACCACCTTCCGAGCCGGAAGACGTCGCTCACGACCGACACGGAGCTCCTTGAGGCCTTTGCGATGATCGACGGTGTCGCGACCGACCTCACGCGCTTCTATGGCGGCGGCGAGACGGCCAAACACCGCGCGGTCGCGGCCGTCATCAACCGCCTCAAGAAGTTCGACTTTGAAGCGCACATGGAGCCCTCCAAAGAGGTAGAGTTTAGATGCGCAGAAGACGGCAAAGCACATCGATCGTAGCCGCCGTCGCCCGAGCCCAAGGCCAAGGACGCGTTCATACGCATTGGCAAAAAGGTGATTCAACTCAACGCGTTCGTGACGCAAGCGCGCAAGACGCGGCGCGAGAGCACGACGCGCGTCTTTAGCTCGATCCCGACCCACGTCGACGAGATGTCCCAGCTCCCGGGCGCCAAGCGCTTGCTCGAGCCGTCCACCGACATCGCCGGACCCGACGCCCACCACTCGGGGCGCTCCGAGACCTAATCCCTCTCGCCGCCCCGTCGCTCTCGGTTCCGAGACCCCACCACAAGAACCTTCTTGCGCGTCGGTAGCGGTCGCTTCTTCTTCCTCGTCATCGTCGACGTCCTGGTCGTGCTTGCGTGGCGGCATGGTCATCGTCATCGTCATCTTCCTCCTTTATATGTCTACCTCGTCCTCTCCATCCTCCGCCATGTCAACCTCGTCCTCTCATCCTCAACCTCGTTCGTCGTCGTCGTCCTTGTCGTTGGCAGCGAAATGGGTATCCCAATAAAGTGCGGTTGGCCAAGCGTACTTGTATTTGTTTTCCATTCGATACAAAAGACAAGAGAAAAGCCAGCAAATAAAATAAAACGCCAAGGCAAGGACAGCGACCACCCAAGTGGTTTGATCATTTGGCAAGAAGAGGAATATGGCGGCCATCAAGGACGAGGTCGAGCTCGGGAATGAGCTCATCCAGCTGCAATGTCGCTTCTACGAGAACAAGTACCCGGAGATCGACGAGCTCGTCGTCGTCAACGTGCGCTCGATCGCCGAGATGGGCGCGTACGTCTCGCTCCTCGAGTACAACAACATTGAGGGCATGATCCTGCTCTCGGAGCTGAGTCGCCGCCGCATCCGGTCGATCAACAAGCTCGTCCGCGTCGGCAAGAACGAGGTCGTCATGGTGCTCCGCGTCGATAAGGAGAAGGGCTACATTGATCTCTCGAAGCGCCGCGTGTCGCCCGAGGACATTCTCAAGTGCGAAGAGCGCTACAACAAGGCCAAGACCGTGCATGGCGTCTTGCGCCAGGTCGCGCAGGACACGAACATCGAGCTCGAGGACCTCTACCAGAAGATCTCGTGGCCGCTCTACAAGAAGTTCAAGATGGAGCAGCCGCTCGGCGCCGACGACGAAAAGAAGGTCGAGTACGTGCACTGCTACGACGTGTTCAAGATGGGCATCACGGACCCGACGGTGTTTGACGGCCTCGACATGACGCCCGAGACGCTCGAGTCGCTGCGCACGCACATTCGCCGCCGCCTCACGCCGCAGCCGATCAAGATCCGCGCCGACATTCAAGTCACGTGCTTTACGTACGAGGGCATTGAGGCCATCCGCGAGGCGCTCCAGGAAGCCCAGCACGTTGGCACGGAAGACGTCCCGGTCAAGGTCAAGCTCATTGCGCCGCCCATGTACGTCATGACGACCAACACGCTCGACAAGGTCAAGGGCATTGCGACGCTCCAAGAAGCCATCGAAAAGGTGCGCACCATCATCACGTCCAAGGGCGGCTCGATCGTCGTCAAGATGGAGCCCAAGGTCGTCTCGATCAACGAAGAACGCGAGTTCCTCCAGATGATGGAGCGACTGGAGAACGAAAACCGACCGGTCGACGGCGACGACGACGAAGAAGACTAGAGTGTAGTAGCTATTTGACCGTCCATCTTCCTATCGCGGATAAGAATATGGCTTCCATTGATGCGCTTCCGCCCGTTGCATGCTCCTGCTCGGAAGACGCAAGCCATATCCTCGTTTCGAGTCCTAACCAGTCGTCGTCTACGCTGGAGAAGACAGCTTGTGCAATAAATAACACATGTACAAGGAGCAAGACTCGACGTGTCTACTACTACTCGTCGTCGTCGTCGTCATCGTCGTCGTCAATTGCGTTCATGTCGTCGTTCGTGTCGAGGCTTGTGCTGGAGAAGTCCGAGATGAGGCTAGAGAAGCTCAGCTGCGACTTGAGGTCGCCGGGGCAGAGCCGGAACGAGTTGAACTTGGCCGGCGTGCAGCGCGTCGTGCCGGGGATGGCTTGGCCTTCATTGTGCGCAAGGTTGGGGCGGCTGCGCTTCCGCGGCGAGTGCGGCGAGAGCTGCTTGAGCCGGCGGATCTCTTGCTCGTAGTGCGCAATGTTCTTGTGCAGATTGACGAGCCGGTGGTCGAGCTTGGGCAAGAAGCGCACAAGGCAGCTCCAGAGCGGCTGCACGAGCCGAGCGGCAAAGAAATGCTGGCTCTCGACCATGTGCAGCGGGTCGTCGACGTGCAAGTGCGTCACGGGCAGGCCCTCGGCGGTCTCCATGAGCGCTTGGTACGCAAACTCCTTGGCAATCATGTTGCTCCACTTGAGCGCGATCGGCGTGGGAAACACTTGGGCCCCGAGGTCGCTCGCGTGCACGATGGTTTGCACGAGAAAGATGCGGTCGTCGCCCGATTTGGCAAAGTTGGCGAGCGCCGACCGCTTGTCGTCGAGGAGCGGGTCGGTCGTGCGCGCATACGGCGCCCAGCGCTTCTCGAGCGCTTCAATGTGCTCGAAATGCCGGGCCATGTCGGTGCCAATGATGGCGCGCACAATGACCTTGCGCGTGTAGCGGTACTCGTCCGGCGTCAGGCCGGCGAGGATGTTGACGTGGTCGTTCTGCAGCAGCCGGAACGTCGTTGCCGCGTGGTGGCGCTCGAGCACCGCGTCGTCGTTGTGCAAGAGCGCGAGACCGCTCTTCGAGTTGACTTCAAAGACGTTCGAGTGCCCCGGGTGGTCAATGTCGTGGCAAAGCGATGCGAGGAGACAGCCAAACCGGTCCGGCGGCGTGAGCACCGTCACTGCTTGCGTCTCCTTGAGGATGCAGTACGATGTGTGGAGCACCGAGAAGCCGTGCAAAAAGTTGTGGAACGGGTTCGGGTGGTAGTGGTCTTGGACCGACTGGATGAAGTTCTGAACAATGTCCGGGTCGAGGTTGGGCAGCGCCATGACCGGGTCCAGCAGCATGTTTTGCGTGTACGAGAGGAGGGTCTCGAGCTCCGTCGTAAAGACGTTGAGGCTCCAGCGCGGCACGATCGGAACGTCGACCGACTTGGTCTTGAAGAGCGCGCTGGGCGGCCGCGGCGGCGTCTCCAGCGGGAGTGGACTCAGCGAGTCGGCGCTGAAGAACGAGTCGCTCAAGCGGTCCGCGAGGTGCGATTGAAGCGTGCACGGCTTGGACGTGAACGCTTCGAGCAAGTTGACTTGGGACTGCGCCCTCTCGGCCCAGAGCGACTCGGACTTGGTGTCGGCCAAGAGCTTGAGGTATTCGGTCTCTTGCGACCGGCGGCGCAGGATCACTGCGACTTCGGACGCAAACGCCTCGAACGCGCACTCGTCTTCGTACGTAAACTCGGCAAACTCGGTCTTGTGGCCGCCGACCTTGTTGATGCACTCGAGCACGGCGATCGGCTGCACGTCGTTCATCTGGTGAACGCCAATCGGCACGTAGAGCGCGGTCTGGGTGCTGCCGACGCGGTCGTCGACGCTCATGTCAAAGCGCGGGTCGGTTGGCGCGTGCTTGACGTTGAGAATGGTGCTCGAGAGCGCGGCGGCACCAAGGAGACAGCCGTCGATCGAGAAGCGGAGGTTCGACCGCCGGAACGACGACGAGAGCGACCAGAGTTCGTTGCGCGGCCAGTCGAGGAGGAAGAGCGTGACGCTCTCGCAGTGCACAATGTGGTTGGCGCCTTTGATGACGCGCTGGACGAGCTTGAGGATCGTTTCTTCGTTCGAAGATGAGCTCACAATGTGCAGGAGCGCGGCTTGGGTCCGCTGCGACAGCACAATGTCATGGAGCTCGATCGCTTTTCGCATCGCATTGCTCAAGATCGGGCCGAGACGCTGGAGCAGCCCGAGGTCGTACGCGCAGAGGCTCTCGGGCGACGCCGACGACGCCTCAATGACCGCAAACGTCTCGCCGCCGCTGTCCAGCAGTGCAAAGCAGAGAAGCGTGTTCGAGTCGGCGGCGCGTGTGAGGTCCACCGCGGGATTGTACGATGTCGGCAGCGATCGCCCCACAAACGTTGTTTGGGACGCAGCAACCTCGGCTGCGAGGCTGCAGTTGGTCGGGACGGCCTCGACGGCGCTGAGCTTGGGCACGATCTTGGCCATCGAATCTGACCCTGCGTCGAGGAGGAAGACGGCGCAGCGGTGGGCCGGGTCGTGCGAAAAGAGACCTTCGACAAAGGCAAAGAAGACGTCCATCATCATATACAGGTCGTCTTGCTCGAGCACGTCCTGGATGAGGTCAAACGCGCGTCGCTCCTTGGCTTCTTGCATCTGGTAGCGCGCAACGGTGGCCTCGAGCTCGGCGATGCGATCGCAGCGCTGGTTGGTCGTCTTGCCCATTGCCGTCGTCTTGACCATGCTGCTGGTCGACGAGGTCTTGGGCGGCCCCGATGCATGGGCGTCTACCTCGGCCGGGCGTCCATGCGCATCGGGGATCGCTATGAAGGGTTCCATCGGCGGGTTATCGCTCACTGACCCGAGTCTCAAATTTCCGAAACCACATTGCACCCTCGCATTGAATTGCATAGAAACTCCAAGTGCAAGCACATGATTTAATTGACGTCGCATATGCGCAATTCTGTTTTTTCGCAAATTATAACGTCGTCCGTGCGACAGCAACGACGACGTCGACTACGAACCGACTGACCGTCCAATGTCGTAGTTGACTCGTACTAACTAGCATCAATGCGGCAAAATCGATAATGCCCGAGGCGCTCGTACGAGCGTGGCGCTGGTTATTGCCAGCGCGAGATGGCGAGTGCAACGGGATGCACGTAATGCTGGCGCCGACGTCCGACGTCATTTTCGCGGGACGCATGCGATGATGTGTCGTCGTCTGCCTGAGATATTGTGCCGGCTCGGGTCAGAGGGTGTCTGATCGGCGCGACAGGCGGCAATGATTCTTGTCAGCAGCCAAGGAGGAGCCAGGTGGAGGCGGAGCGCCCCGCTGAAACGGAACACCGACAAGTCCATTCCAGCAACTAGTACGAAGTCGCTGTGCGCTTAGCTCTCTTGATCGCCGCTGGTCCACACTCGGGCCATGGTAGCGACATGGCATCGGACCAGCAACGGACAAGAGGGCGGCAAGCTTGCCATCATCCCAGGCGCGGGAAGATCCTTCGGAATCTAGAACTAAAATGGTTCCGATTCCGCAAGAAACCCATTCGAGTCGTACGCCTTGCGCTCAGTCGGACGCGCGATGCGACGACCAAAGGCTTGTGCCGTAGCGAGGAGTACTTTAGTTAGTCGACGGCTTCAACTGAAACGACGAGACATCATCGGCAAGCATCTGCAAGTGGTGTTGCCACGCACCCATCTGCGTTGCAGTATCAAGTAGGGGGCCGCACGAATAAGCACCCTGGGCGCCACCTCGATCTTGGTTTTTGTATCGCGTGCTGGACCCCGAGAGCATGTTCTCCGGCGATTTCCATCCGTTTTCAGTACCCCTCCTACCAATTAAATTAAAATACTGTGTGTGTGGTTTACATACAGTGTTCAAGTGAGATGGTATTAAAATGGATGGTTTTCTATTTAAATACTCGCTACGGCAAATAAAAAAGGGTCGGGTGGGTTGTTCGAAACTCCGCCATTTCTGCAGCGGAGTCGCCGCCGGTCCGTCTCTCTCGCGCCCGCCGCCGGACGCAGCCCATCGCCCACCGCCGGACGTCGCCATTCGCCGCTACTAGCCGCAGCATCGCCGTATACGATTGCCATGGAGAAGGGCAAGAAGGTCCTGCCGCTGAGCGAGAGCTGGCTGTCGCCGTCCATGGTGACCTCGTACGATGGCCAGTCCATCTACGCGGGCCATCAAGAGAAGCTGCGCCTCGGCAACTACCTCGGCAGTGGCATCGCTGGCGTCGTCTACGAAGCCTTTGAGCCGCAGAAGCAGCGGCACGTCGCGGTCAAGATCCTCAACCCGGTCGGCTACAAGCTCTTTTCGCCGCTCGCGCTCGCCCGTTGCGATGTAGTCCATGCGGGCCTCATGTACAAGCCGCCGACGCCATCGCCGTCGATGCCAATGGCTCGCCCGCACATCCAGAAGGAGCACATTTGGTGGCTCCTGCATCCAAACCAGCACGAGCTCATTCCGTGCATGAAGGACGCGCAAGGCATCAAGGAACTCAACCTCGAAATGTGCGCCCAGCTGTGGCCGCTCGACTCGCATCTCGACGACGACCCGCTCGAGATGGAAACCAAGCCCGATACGGTGCTCTACCAAGGCAAGACGTGGGTGCTCCCGCCGCTGCCCAAGAAATTTGCAGCCTTTCTTCAGAACCGAAAGACCATCTACCGTGAAATTGCCTTCATGCACCGCCTCACCGGCAACACGATCCATGGCAGCGTCGGTTGCGGCCACCCGAACGTCCTGCAGCTCTTTGACGTCCTCGAGTACGTCCAAGCGACGAAAAGCACCATCTTCCTCGTGCTCGAGCTCGCGGGCGGCGGCGAGCTCTTTGATCGCATCAAGGCCGAGTGCATTGGTGTGCCTGAAGTGCACGCCAAGGTTTACTTTACGCAGCTCATTGCCGGTGTCCACTACTGCCACCAGCTCGGCATCGTGCACCGCGACCTCAAGCCCGAGAACCTCCTCTTGAGCGATCACGATGTGCTCAAGATTGCCGACTTTGGCCTCTCGGCGCAGTTTGCGAGCCGCCCAGTCCTCGACGAATCGAGCGTGCCCCCCAAGCCGTCGCCATGCCGCCGGCTCAAATCGGTTGTCGGGTCGCCCCACTACGTCGCGCCCGAGGTGCTGCAGAAGTGCCACTTTGGCTACGACGGGCGCAAGGCCGACATGTGGTCGATCGGCGTCATTCTGTACGGTCTCCTCGTCGGCGCGCTTCCGTTTGGGACCGACCTTGCCAACTGCACGCGCTTTGCGACCTTTGCCGAGTACCTCGCAGCGCCGATGGAGAGTCGACTCTTTCCGCGCTGGCTCTTCCCCGCCAAACTCTCGCCCGCTGCCATCGAGCTCCTCGTCGGCCTATTGGACCCGGACCCGATTGGCCGGTTCTCGTGCGACGATGTGCTCAAGAGCCGCTGGCTCGCCGCTTCCTACTCCCCTGTATCCTAACCGTACCATAGTCTTTCCTTACGTAATAGTTTATAATCATCCTAATCAACCCTACACCTACGTCGCTTCACGAGTTGACGCATCTCGCTGCTGCAGGCTCCGACGCTTCCCACCCTGGCACACAACAAGAGCTCTGGACCCAGGCGATCGTTGACGCTTGTCATCGTGTCCCCAACGTCGACTCGACTACTACAGCTTGCATTCTGTACTCCGGGTTGAACCAGAAACGTTTTATTTACTAGTCCTTGTCGGAGCCGTCGCTTCTTGTTGGGGTTGGGGTTGCCTCGGCTATTCTAGTTCGTTTGGGACCGGTTGGCTGTATGGCGAGTCCCACTGCGAGACGCCGGTGGTGCGGTTGTAGTAGTAGACGTTGCCGTCGTCGTCTTGGAGCGTCTCCCACGCCGTCTCGTCCGGCTTCGTCCACACCGTCTCGCCCGAGAGCCGATTGTAAAAGTACACTAGACCGTCGTCGGTCTGGACGAGCTCCCACGCGTCGTCGCCACTGACGACGTGCGACGCCTCGGCGATGGTCCACACGGACGCGCCCGTCTCTCGGTTGTAGTAGTACACGCGCCCCCCGTCATCGACGGCCGGTTCCCACGGCGGCGGTGCGCTCAGCGGGTTCTCCCACGACGACGCGCCGGTGCGGGCGTTGACATAATACGGTGTTCCATCCTCCGTGCGGCACTCTTCCCACACGCCGAGGAGCGGTTGGTCGGCCACGTCGTCGAGGCGCCGCTGGAAGCGCGGCGCGTCCCAGACACTCTCGCCCGTCGCACGGTTGTAGTAGTAGAGGTACCCTTCGTCGCTGGTGCACGCTTCCCAGACGTCGCGGGACGCACCGTCGTCCCACCACTTGAGGAACCGAGTCAGCGTGATCGAGTCGGGGTAGTCAAACTCGTGAAAGTACGAGGCAAATGTCCTGTCCTCGTCGGCGGCGCGGCTTGAGAGACCGAGGCGTTCGTACAGTGCGCCGAGTTGCGAGAGACGGATCGTAGCTTTGGAGCTGTTGCGCGCAGCGACAAGGAGAAACGCCGCCTGGAGCGTCTCGTGCAACGGCGACAGCGGCTTGGCGAGCTTGCGCAGTCGGCGCGAGAGCTGCATCTGCTGCACGTCGGCCTGTGTCTTCCGCGTCCGGAAGCGCGTTTGGATCGTAATGGCGGCGGCCGTGCGCCGTGCCGCCTCGGCATCGTCTTCGTACGCTTTGCGCACGCGGGCGTCGTCGCGCGCCACGGCGTTCGCTTGGTGCTGCATGAAGCGCTCGCTCGCATTGCCCGCCTGGCGCGATCTCGATTGATACATTGATACATATCACCTTGAAACCAACCTCGAGAAGGCCGTGCCGGTCCAGCATGTCGTCAAAGAGGTCGACGGTTCGCGCGTTGTGCGGGTCGAGCTCAAGCGCCCGCAGATAGTGCGCCGTCGCGTCCGTGACGTTCGTGTAGACCCACTACCATTTGTAGGTGAAAAATGTGGACAAGTTGTCGTCGTACATCGAGACACGCGGCGTAGTTGACGTGGCTCTGCGCGCTCTCGGGGAAGAGGACGAGCGCGTAGCGGAAAAAGCCTCCAAACGCCAACTCAAACTTGCGCTTGCGCGGGTCGATGACAGCAGCGCGCTCAAACAGCAGCGCAATCGGGTCGCGCTCGTCTTGGCCTGTGACAAAGAGGAAGATGGCGTAGCAGCGCAAGACAAATGCAATGTCCGGGCCCCGCGCCGCCATGAGGTCCACGAGGTGACCGTACATGACGCCGGCCTTGGCGTAGTCGTGCAACAGCGCGTGCAAGTAGAGCGCGTAGTTGCCGAGGCACGTGAGATTCGTAGGCTCGGCCATGTAGGCGCGCTCGCAGTGGCGGGCGAGGCGCACCCCTTCGAGGAGCCGCCGGAACATGACGCGCGCGGTCCGGGCGCGAAACTGACTCTGGATACGCAGCGCGGCCGCCAGCATACACGCCGTGTAGCCGTAGTAGTAGAGCTGCTGGCGATCGAGAAACTAGTCATCGTCGATAAGCGCATCGTCTCTCGATGCTGCCTCGTACGTACCGCTTGGTAGTCGCGCTCGACCCACAGCGGCGGCTTGTCCCAGACGCACTGCCCCGTGATCTGGTTGCAGTAAAAGACGCCGACGATCGGCGACGTCCCGGCCAGCAAGAGCTCGTCCCACACGGAGAAATTGCTCACGAGAGATGCGTGCTTGCGCGCGTCTTCCCAATTGAAGAACGTCCGCGGCCCGTGCTGAATGACCCGAGCCCGTTTGGCGTCGCGGCGACCGTGCAGGCCGCGCCAGACGCGCTGGATCGTGTTGGCCGCGATGCGATTCGTCCGCACCTGCATCGACGCGTCCGTCGTCATGCAATAAGACGGTCGGAGAGTCTACCTGGACGCGCCACGCGTGCCACGACTGCCGCTCGTGAAGGCGCGTGAGAAACCCACGGCCGAGGGCTTGGAGCTTGAGAGCGCACCGCACGCGGTGGCGCTGCTGGGCGGCGTGGCGGCGCGCGATGCGACCGCGGTAGACGCGCTGTAAATGCAGCGCCGTCTTGTGCTCGACCTTGAGCGCCCGCAGGCGCCGCCGGTACACATGGCCTTTGTACGTCCGCTGGATCGCGACGGCCGCGAGGTATCTCGCTCGCTCGGCTTTGGTTTCCGCGTCAAAGTTGGTCCAAAACGACTTGTATTGCGCTGTCGCCGCTGCGGTCTCGGACGACACGCGATGAATGCGACTGCGCAGCATTTTGAACTCGTCGATGCCTTGCACGAGCGCCTGCCGCCAGGATAGTATCAATCTATCGATCACGTCAACCAACGACGCACCTGCAACCGGAGGGGGTCGATCGGCGGGACAGTCGTAGAAACGTCATTGGTGACGTCATGGCAGTAGACGTAGCTGCCGTCGTCGCGCGACATTGGATGCCAATGGGCCCCCAGCGCGGCTTGGTACTCGACCGGCGCCCGCCACGTGCACTCGTCTGTCTCGGCGTCGTGGTAAAAGATGGCCCCTGACGTCGCCATGAGACAACTCATCCTCACGTCAGGATGGCATACCCGTGACGGCGTCGACGCACTGCGACCAGCAATGGAGCATCGAGACGGTGACGGCGCTCGCGTAGGCGTCGCGCCACTCGTCCGTCGAGCGCTGCGGCAACGCGACGCCGTCTTCGTCGAGCACGGGCGGCATCTCGTCCAGCGTCTTCATCTCTTGGGCAAAGTGGAACTGGATGACGTCAATGACGCCGAGCTGGTGGTGCATGCGCGCCTCGCCGAGCGGGTTCTTGTTGTCGTAGTTGCGCATGTTCATGTTGGTACTGTACTCGATGAGCAAACGCATGGTCTCGGCTGCACCGTGCTTGGCAGCAATGTGAGCAGGCTACATGGATCGTCCATCAGTAGTTTCAAAGGACAACCAAATCGTACGAGGTTGCCGCGGCGGTTCTTGGCGTCGATCGCCGCGCCAAACGAGAGCAAGACGCGCGAGCTCTCGAGGAGGCTGTCGCTGCGGCACGACAAGTGCAGTGGCGTCTCTCCTTGGAGCGTCCACGCGTTCACGTCGGCGTTGAAGGCGGCGAGAAGGCTCGCATGCGCCGGCTTGTCGATGGCAATATGAATGGCCCCGAGGCCCGCGACGTTGGTCATGTCCGGTGCCGCGCCCGCTTCGAGGAGGAAGCGAAGCATCTGCGGCTGGTCATTGTAGATGGCATACATGATTGGTGTACTCCCGTCCACGTCGACCGCGTCGATGTTCGCGCCATGGGCGAGCAAGAGTTGCACCATCTCCACAAACCCTCTTGCCGCCGCGTCGTGCAGCAGTGTGGCGCCGTCGTCTACGTATTCGATGCGCCTCTATCTCATTGTCGCAGTGAACGTACTGAGGTCGGTAGCGTGCGGCGAGCAGCGGCCGAGGCCCAAGAGCAGGTGAGCCGCCTCGAGAAAGTTGGCCGCGACAGCCGTCATGATGGGCGTCTCGTGCGTCATGCTCGAGACGACGTGGACGTCCGCCGCGCGGCGAAGCAGCACCTCGATGCAGTCGACATGGTTGAGCGACGTCGCCAGCAACAGCGGCGTCTCTCCGTTGCTGTCGCGCGCTTCCTGCCATGCGCCGTGGTCGATGAGGTAGTCGATGAGCTCGGCGCGGTATCTACATGCCCCCATCAAGCGATGATGCGAGGCGGAGCGTACGCATGGGGTGCGGCCACGAGCATGTGCAAGGGTGTGCGGCCGGCGTGGTTGACGCCGCCAACGTCCATCTGGTAGCGCAGGCAGAGCTTGACGAGTCGCTTCGCCCCGCCCAGACACGAAAGATGCAAGAGCGAGTTGCCGTCGTCGTCGCAAATGCCGCCGCGCCCAGCGTTGATCGCCCGCAGGACGACGCTGTAGTCCCCGCGCACGGCGGCGTCGAGCACAAACGCATTCCGCCGGCGGTCGACCGTCCGAATCGCCTTGCGCCGTCGCCAGCCGCACTGTATACGCAGTGCGCAACGGTGGAGCGCGAGCGTATGACGGTAAAACGCCCGACAGAGGTATCCGCGGACCGTCCGCTGCAGTATCTTGGCCGCGCGGTGGTTGCGGACAAGCGCGTGGAAGCGCGTGCGCGCGAGGAACCCCCGCACGCTGCGCTGGATGCAGGTCGCGGCGGCAAACTGGCGCCGGTACCGCTCGGCGCGCTTCAAAATGCGGTAAACGCGGTAGCGCTGCCAGAGGTGGAAGCACCAGGCGTGGCGCCGTTGGATCCGGCGCGTCGTCCGATCGCGACAGAGCTGCGTGAACGCCCAGCGCGACTGCCACGACTGGAAGACGCGCCAGAGGCTTTGCCGGAGGAGGCGCTGGAGGAGCTGGTTCACCTACAGCCACAACCGGCATGAGAGTCATGCCATCGACAGAAGAGTACGCACCCCGTGGTGCTGCGTTGCGCGCAAGCGGCGGCGAAGCGCGGCCACGCGCCGGCCCAAGTGCCCCCGGTACGTTTTTTGAACGAGCAGAGCGGCGTGCTGCAGTGCCCGCGCATGCGCGGCGGCCACACGGCCTCGGTGTCCCCGCCACAGACGCTGAAGCACGAGAGCACTCGCGCGTCGCATCGATAGAAGCTTTGCCCACTGAGTGAACGAACTGTACAGCGAGCGCTGGAGAACGTCGCGACACCGCGCCTTGACGATGGCCTGCGTCGTTGCGTACTGGCGCCACTGCTGCCAGAGCGCACACAAGAACCGCTGTTGGAGTCGCTGGACGCTGCGGGTGGCGAGCTGGAGCTTCTTTTGCGCGCGGCGCGCCACGAGTTGACCGGCTTTTCGCCCGCGATGGCCACGGTACAGCGCCTGCAGCATCGTCGCCGCCTTGTGCTGGTCGCGCCGCCACCGCAGGTAATGGTGCCAGCGTTGGAAGCGCCATCGCAGCGACGTCTGGTGCGCCGCAGCTGCCTTTTTCGCAATCGTCACGTAGCGCCGCCAGCGCGCAAACACGCGCTGCGTCAAGGCACGTGTGGCGGCGGCGTGGAGCTTCTCGGCTTGATTGAGCGCGGCAGCGCGCAAGACGGCGTCTTCCTTGGCCTTGCGCGCGGCGGCCGCGCTGGCATCGCGTTCGTGCTTCTCGGCGAGGCGTGACCGGTGCTTCTCAGCGTCCCGCGCCCGCAGCGCCTCGAGCCGCTTCCGCTCCATCTCTTGCTCGGCCTTGCGCTTCTTGGCGGCGGCGCGGCGCGCGTGGAAGGCGGTCTGCGCCGCGTGGCGATCGCGCCGCCACGCCCGCCGCTGCCGAAACAGCCGCTGGATACGAATCGCGCTGCGTTCTTGGAGCGCGTCGAGCTGGTCGCTCCACGCGTTGGCCTGCTTGCCCTTGCGCCGGCGTTCGAGGAGCTTGGCCGCCACCTTCTGCTCCAGGAGGTGGTTGGCATACCGGCGCGCGACCGCATCCCGGAAGCGGTGGAGGATGCGGGCGCGTGGTGACGCGGGTGGCGCAGAGGGCGTCGCCGCGTCCGAGAGCACCGAGCTCCAGACCGTATTGACCTACGCGTCTCTATATCCTACGACATCAAGGGATTGAACGTACCTGTGCTTCGGTGAGGGCAATGCGGTGGCGCAGGTCGTCGACGTCGCGCTTCGTGGCGTGGAGCTGGTTGTCGAGGAGGAAGCTCTGTGTCTTGAGCTTGGCCTTGACGACGTCGTCAAGCACGCTGCTCGTGAGCTGACGATCGAGCTTGGTGCGCTGCGTCTCGAGCCGCCGGAGTCCGCGCTTCTCGGTCTCGAGCGCTGCCTTGAGCGTCACAATGCCAGCGTCGTGGCTGATCGTGTCTTGGAGTCGCGTCAAGAGCGTGAGGCTCTCGCCTACGACCTCATCGTACTCCAGCGACAAAGGACAGCGGCCATCGAACCGTCATCGTTGAACTTGTGCGCGGCAACAATGTCTTCCGGCACGCGGTGGAGGTCCTCGACGAGATGGCCGAGGAGCGCGTCGAGCTCGAGCACGAAGCTGCTGGACTCGTCCCCACTTGGGCCGACCGTCGTGACGTGGCGGAATGGCAACGACGTGTTAGCGTAGAAGCGTGCGAGCGTCTTCTCCTTCGGAAAGCACGCCGCGTACAGCGTGTGCACCATGGCATCCTTGGCGACGTACACGACTTGGGTCCCGTCCCGGAGGTCCGGGTGGTGGCCAAGGACGACGGACCCGGGCGGCAGCACCTTCTTGGCCACGTCCGGGTGCGCCACCTTGTCCTTCGTCTTGAGGCGGAGCCCGAGGGACTCTTGGACGTAATGGCGAAGGTGGCAGTGGAAGTACGCAAACTCGTTGTCTTCGATCTCGCGCAGAAAGGCGGCAAACACCCGCAGCTACGATGGTGAGTCACAGGATACGAACGTAGAGTGCGCGCGTCTGTACGCCATGGAAGCGATGCGCGTGGCGCTCGAGCGTGCACGCGACGTCGATAATGTCTTGGTCGGCCGCGACGCCGAGGTTCGTATTCACAAACTGCCGCGCAAAGAGCGCAAACGAACTCAGGACGCGCGAACTCGCATACGCCCTAAAGTACGCCTCGTAGACATCGTCGACAAACCGGAAGAGCCATGCGATCGGACGGTCGCGCAAGAGGCCGCTCGATGCGCATACGAAGCGCGGGAAGCGCTGGCGCAGGCGCGCGAGCGTCAGCGGCGCGTCGACGTCGGGCTCGGAGCGCGAGCTCAGCGCTTGGTCGTCGCTCGCTTCGACGGGCGCGTGGTTGTTGCTGGCGCTGGCGGCCGGCAGCCCACTCGGTTGTTCCGATAAAGGCGCGGGCCCGACCTCGAGGCCGCGCTGCCGCAGCTGCGCATTGATGTACTCGATCTTCTCGAGGTACGGGAGCAGCGTCTTCTTCTCTTCCAGTTTGACCAAGCTGAGCTTGCCCTACGTGCGATATGCAGGCTGCGTACGGTTGTCGCGCACGCACCCGCGGGAGCTCGGGCGGGATCGGCGCGAGCGCCGTCTCGTTGCGCAAGAGCTTGCGCTTCTTGGACTTGGCCGACGCGCCGTACGGACTCGACGGCGCGGGCCGCGTCCCCTGCATATTGCCACTGAAGCGTCGGTCGTTACATCGCATGCAATCGTGCATCAATTAGTGTCGTTACTACGGGACTCGTGTTCGTGCCTACGCGCGCTTCGCCTCGGCCATGAGCTCTATCTTCTTCCACTTGTCGGCTTGGGCCGACACGGCGTCGCCCGCGTGCTCGGTCTTTTCTAAATAGTCCTTGGCGCACTTGTCGAAGAGCGGCGCGTCGTAGTCCAAGTACAATTTGAGCACATTCTAGAGCCGACAACTTAGCACAGCGGTGGCTTCGACGAGCGTACCTGGGCGAGGCCCTCGACCGTCGTGTTCCAGTGGCCGAGCGAGTTCTTGTAGAGGGGTCCATATATAACGGGGAGGATCAAGCTTGCGTGCTGGCGACTGAGACACCCGTTGTTGACGAGGTGCTCGTTGTTCCAGAGGAAGAGCGCCCGCTCCGAGACCTGAAAGTGCTGCGAGCCGAGGCACTTGGAGAGCACGCGGAAGAGGTCCTTGTGCACTTGGTTGAGCTGGTCCGGCCCCATGAGCTCGAGGATCTCTTCGAGCTCGTTGAGGAAGAGCACTTGCTTGGACGAGCACGCCCACGGCCAAAACTTGACGATGCCCGAGATGATTGGGATCGCAGTCTCCGGGTCCTTCTCTACGTACTGCGTGATGCAGTACGAGAGCTGCTGGTGGTAGAGCGAGACGCACTTGGGCTTGTGCAGTGGCACGAGCGCCTTGACGAGGAACTGGAGGTGCTCGCGCTTGAGCGGCATCGCAAAGCCGTTGATGATCGAGCCGAGGATTTCGAGGAGCTCGCCAATGCCGTTGTGGCGCTCGGTCTCGTACACGAAGCGGTAAAACACGTTCGAGATGGCCTTCCGGATGAACGACCGGTGGCTCATGAACTTGCCGTATATTCTGTGCAAGATCGTCTTGAGGTAGTCGCGCTCGCGCGGGTCCTCCGAGTCGAAGAGTTCGATGACGTTCAAGCAAAACTTTTGGTCCACAAACTTCTTGGCCACCTAGAGCAATCATACGATGCGTCGGACACGGAAGCGACGACCGCGTACCTTGGCGTTGACTTCGCCCGACACGATGAAGCGCAGGAAAAACTCGTAGACGACCTACGCCACAGCATCAGTGCCCCGCGCTGGTGTGGCCAGACGTACCTGGAGGTGCGGCCACGACGGCTCCAAGACCGGTTCGTCTTCCTCCGGATCAAAGTCTTCCGTCTGGGGCGGCAGCGCGCGGCAAATGTTGGCCGACTATCATACATCCTCCATCATTCTGTGCACTCATGTTCGAAGCATGCGTACCACCATGGCCATGATGTCGGGCATCAAGGCCTCGGTAAAGATCTTTTGGCCGCCCGCGTTGTTGACATAGTCAACGAGCTCGAGCAGAGTCTGGCGCTTGAGGTCCTTGCCCTTCTTGTCCGAGGCCGCGTCGTCAAAGTTGAACAGCACCGAGCAGAGCTCCAGCTTTTGCTGAAAGAGCGCCTCCCGCTTCTGCATGCTCGTGTCCTTGAGGTGCGGCAGGTCCTTGAGCGCCGCCACCTTCTGGTTGCGCACGAGTGAGCTCCGGCGGCGCTCGCGGCGCGGCAGCGACACGTCCGAGCGCGCGACGTTCTCGATGCCATCGTCGCGCGCGAGGTTGGCCGTCGAGCTGTTGGCCGCGGCCAAGGTCGCCGCCATCGCCGCAGGGTCCCCGCCCTCGGCCGAGTTGCTCAGGCGCCGCTTCACGGTCTGGAGCATCTTATTCATCCCGCCGCTGGTCGTCCGGAGGATAACCGCTCAAATCGCCTCTGCCGCCCACGCGGGTATACAAAGCTCAAGATACAGCGCGAAAACGTCTTTTTGTCCTCGAGGTAGGGTTGGGGCCCCCCATGGAAACACTTGCTGTTTGTATGCTCTCGAATTCACACTATTTCCTATGCATGGATATAGTGTGAAACAAGAGGTGTCCCGCCCACCGCCACGATGGGCGACAGGGACGCTGCAATAGCGCTCTTTATATGAAGGATAAGATCTGTGCAGCGTTTGCTTTTGCTGAGATGTGCTGCAACCACGTCTTGTAGCTAGGTATGGCTGTAACCATGGAAATACTGTGACGTTTATCTGGTCGGTGTGAACCGAGGCTTCCGAAATAGTGTCATGATTTCGGCAGATTGCACACGCTATTTGAGGTGTTTTCGCCGGGAGCGGAAATGGTGTGCGCCGGAGGGGGCTTGGTCAACGTATCTCTCGACGTTTCTAGGACGGTTGGGTGACCCAAGAATAGTAATGATGGTTACTATGATATAGTGTACCGTAGACTGTACATTATTTCACGCCATGAGAAGAAATACTGTAATGCATGGTCAGTTTGGAAGAAGCATGCCACCCGGTAGGACGTGGCTGCGAGGCTGGCAAGACGCCTCATGCGATGGCCTATAGCAAAGGAAACGAAGGCTGCGGTCTCGGCCTTCATCATGAAGCTCGAGACGGTCGTGAATGACCCATCGACAGGTGCGACGGCGCCGTGGCATGATGACTGCAAGCATGTTGCTACATAGATGACATCATCACGTGGAAGCGCAACCCGGATGGTTCGCTCTATGAGCCCAACTGCCTCGTTGTGCTCGACAAGACGGTATGCGCTCATCTGCCTCGAGGTCCGTGGCGCTCATCGTCGACTAGCGCTTCTCGGAGGACATCATGCCGCAGTACTTTCGCGGCTCCAAGTACTGCTCCTTCATCCGCCAGCTCAACGGTACAACGCGCCATCGACGTTGATCACGTCACGATGACGACGCATCGTTAGCCTACGACTTTAGCCACGTTGGCGTTGTGAACGGCACGGACCCGCCGATGTTTACGCACCCGTACTTCCAGAAGGACAACCCGTCGCTCTTGCACAAGATCGAAGTACGTGGATCAGCATCATCGACGATCGCAACACGTCATGATGACGTAGCGTCGCAAGCAAGACAAGCGCACGCGTGCGACGGCGCCCCAGGAAGACACCAAGGTCGTCAAGAAGGTCGACAGCTCGCAGTCGGCGTGCGTCGACTACTACAAGGAGAGTCTGGTCCACGCGGTCACGGCCATCCGCGATATGCTCCAAGCCGGTATCAGATCTGAGAGGCGCCTCGAGAAATCTTATCGTCGTCTAGCGGAGCTCGCGGGCATGGGCTACGTGGTCGTCGAATATGCCAAGACGTTTCTGGCGACGCAAGGCATCATTGTCCTCTCGGACGACGACGTGCTGTACCACCTCGAGACGCTCACCAAGACGTCGGCGAGCTACGCGACCACTACGCCGTCCCATCATGAGGCGCCGATGACGCCGGCGTCGAACGCGTCGACCGACTCCGTGTCGTCTGGCTCGTCGTCGCCACACAGCATGAACCCAGCGCACATGATCGATCCGCTCGCGGCACTCCTTCCGTCGCACCACGACCCACTGCCGCCATCGTCGCATCACGACCCGCTGACGGCGCTCGATTTTGCCATCCTCGACGAGATCAACGTCGACGAGCTCGGCGACCTCCTCACGGATCACTTGTAGTCGTCTTATCGGCCGCGAATCTACATGTAAAATTGATGAATACGTCGGTGGAAAATGTGCTGGTTGTTAATTATATTAGATATCGCTGCTCGGGCGCTGCGATTGCAACCCAAACAACGGGAACGCGCGATGGAGCGAGGGTAGTCGCGGCAAGTGATTCTGTGCTGCCGGCGGTCGCAGTGACGGAACGCTGCTCGAGTTGTTGTACTGGTGGTGCTGGTGGTGGTGGGCGACGAGCGACGCGTCGGCCATGACGCTATGGCGCTGGGATGACATGATTGACGCCGAGCCGCGCACCGTGGTCTCTCGTGCCGAGTGGGCCGCGGCCGCTGGGCGCGGCTTGGCAATATTGACACTACACAAGAGGCCGCTCGTCGGCCGCTTGACCGCCCACGAGAGGTTGCCGCTGCTGTTGGTCGTGGGCATGTCGTCGGCGAGGCGGCGCTTCTTGGCCTCGTGCGCGCGGGGCACTTGAATGCGGCACTCCAAGCTCATGGGCGTGCGGCGCTCGTCGGCCAGCATCGGCGGGCTCGCGCCACCCAAGGACGACGACGACACGTCGCCGAGCTGCTGGGGCTGGCCCTTGACAAAGTCGGGCCGAAAGTAGCGTGTACCGTCGCGCGACTTCATGAAGCCATGCTTCTCGAGCTGCATCTTGAAGGTCTTGAAGCGGCCACGGTACAGGTTCGGCATCGGCAAGCTCGACTCCATCTTTTCCGGGTCGAGAATCGAGAAGGACCGGCCGTCGGCGTCCCATGCGATCGTGTCGGGCAGGTCGTTGTTGTTGAGGAAGCCGTAGAGGTTGCGCAGGAAGGTGCTCGGGATCGCTGTCGAGCGCTCGTCGCTCTCCATGACGTGGTCCATCGTACTGCAACTGACGACGTCGGCGACAATCGGGCAATCCGCTTCGAGAGCGTTTTGACTGCCGGTGGGGTTGTGAGTGCAAGGGGCCATCGCTTTTTTATTCGCGTCATAAAATCTATTTCATCCTATTGCATACAAATATCGAGCTTACAATAATTCTTTATTTCAATGCGGGAATGTATTATGCCACGCGGTGTCACGCCGAACGCCGGAAACAAACCCGGTGCACCTGCATTCTGGTGCGAAAGACCAACATTGGCTGAGACTGAGCCTCGACGACGTGCATTCTCAACTGCGCTTGAAGCGCATGGGGTGCCAGAGTGGTGGTGGCGCCATGGCGACCCTTCCATGACCGCGGTGTAAACCCAGGACGCAGCTGTATACGATCGCGATCGATCCTAATCGACCAGCGTTCTGGATAGATCGCCTCGTAGGGCGAGAATGTGTGCACGCCTTTGGTCGTGGTGCCCTAGTAGGTTCTTTTCCTCAAGTGGTGTCTACAAACGAGCAACAACAACACGACGTTTGGCATTGGACTCTGTCGGACGCTGTCTTGAGCGCTACAGATTGATTCTTAGTCCCCCTGGAATCGTAGTCGCTACACCGGGGTCTCTCATACAATGCGGGGTATGACCGACGGTTGAAATCACGCACGGATCTAAGCTGAACCTGGTGGTGTAGTCGCGCTGTTAACTCCGCGTGAGTTCGCATACAGCGTCAACATCAATAGCTCACCGATGTATGCACTGTACAGCGATCGAATGCGTTTGGACAACAAGTAGATCTCATGACGACTGCATCACTGCTGAAGTCACTGCCGATTCGGGCATCGAATCCCGGACATGTTTGCCGTCCGAGAAGCGGCGGCGATGCTCTGCGGTGGTATCACGACGTACGCACCGCTTAAGAGGCATAGCGCGGGTCCCAGTAAGAAAAAGGTGGGTGTCCTCGGCATCGGCGGTCTCGACCACTGTGATGTGCAGTGGGCCGTCGGCTTGGCGCGGACGTGACGGCAACCTCGTCCTCGAAACGCAAGGAGGCGCTCTGCAAGGACGTGCTCGGTGCGCACGGCTATCTCGACATGTCGGACGCTGCCGACGTCGCAGCGAACTATCACTGGTTTGAAATGCTCTTGGTCCCGACCAATGGCCCCAACACCGTCTAATCGACGCTCCTGGAGCTTGTTCGGACGAACGGCAAGCTCGTGCCAGTGGCCGTCCCCGAGACACCGCTGTCGTTCTACGCCTTCTCCATCATCATGCGCCAGATCAATGTCGTGGGCTCGGCGATCGGGTCACCGGACATGATCCAGGAGACACTGCAGTTTGTGCAGAAGAACGAGCGCGCTGCAAAAGGTGCACAAGGGTGGTGCGCGCTTCCGCATCGTCTTGGCAAACGAAACGACTAAGAACGAAACGATGTGGATCAAACCCAAGTCGAGTACATTTGCATGGTCACTGTGTACGATGACCATGGTGGCCAACAACTAGAGCGAGGTCAGAGCGTCTGCATACCGCACCATCGCAAATCTCGTGTAGCGTGTTGCGCATATCATAGCAACGTACGAATCAGCCCTACGCTCGTATTTCACAGAATGCACACTGTAGTCGCGCTAAAACAAATGGAGATCTGGTCGGAAATGGTCTCGTGCAGTGACGATTAGACTGGCGCTTAGCCTTTCGGGGTGTTACTGACAGACTTTCGAGGCTCAGAGGACTCAGGATGGGGTACGTGTCATCACCCGCGTCCTTACTCGATCCATCGTAATTGTATCGCACAACGGATTCCCTCGTCCTCGCCTGTTTGCGTCGGGTAGCGTGCCGGGGCCAATGTGCCGGGGGGCTGAGAGTCCTCGCCACTGCATTTGTTGGCACCTAATAAGGTGCTGGCAAGCCAGCGATACGGTGCGAGTCGACGACACGACTAGGTTGCACGACGTCATTAGTACCGCGCGGTACGCACGGTCGCGTCGTCGTCGAACGTCAGCACGCTCTTTACCGCCTCTCGCGTTGGCACCAACCAGATGCCGTGCCTCTGTCGCGCCAACAAAAACGGCGTAAAATCATCATCATCGCGAGGGTGGACCTTGGTGTAGCCTTCCAGTGGGACCCAGAAGCATTTGCTGCGCTCGAGCGATGCAGAATGACGCGATTATAAACAGACTGCTACATATGCAGACTGCTATGTACTGTACTCACATGTGATCCTCGGGTCGAGGGCGCGCCATTACGCATGATTTGCTCGCACGAAAAGCAACGCGATTCAACGCGTCAGCCTCGGCATGAGATGGTCACCTTGGAATGGCAATATTGACCGCAATATTGACCCGAAAACACCTTGGTACCCTACCCCTGGGGTGGACCTCGGGATGGTCTGCGGTGCTTGCCGTCGCTTGCACTGGCGTGGAAGCTACTGCAGAGTGAGTCGCTCATGTATCACTTGGACAAACTCGTGGACGGGACACCACCGAAACCCAGCCTGGTCTTCTCTCTTCTTTGTGGCTGTTGTCATACCTGCCTCTGTACACGACGTGCAGTGCCGAGACAAGGTTGATTGTCTCGCTTCATGTTGAGTTGCGAAAAGCGCGCGTCGAGTTTCTAGTGTGCAGCAGCCAAACCCAGAGCCAAACCTTCTGACACGACCTCTGCAGCGCGCTCCTGCGCATCTTAGATATTAGCAGCGCCACCCCGCACGTATGCGACTCTGTAGGAACACGACCTGCGACCGCGAGGACTATGGCGGAACAACGTCGAGTTATCGTCGAGCTTCGCATACGGCGCACCTAAACTTCTCTCGGTCGCTCCCCAGTGCAGCCTCTTCATGAACCCCTCGACCGCGTGCACGTAATACGCATCGCATGGATCCCTCGTCGGTCCGCAAGTGCCATAACGACGAAGGTAATCTCGCTGGACGGGTGTCCCATCCATGAATCTACCCGCTTGCCGCTGTGGCCCCCGAGCCAGAGATACCCAATTACACACCGCGTTACGCTGGACGCAAAGGTGCACTGGCGGCCATGTGTAGCCGCCGCACGGACAGGCGCTTCCTGAAGTGCAGCTTCCAAATCAGAGCGCGCCAAAGAGATAGCGAGACCGTCTCCTCCGCGTCAACTCCAGTGATCTCCAGTCTTGCTCGATTGCCTGCGTCATCGAGCACCAAAGGTCGGTCTCGCGTTGCGGTGGGTCGTCGTACGTTCAGACAGCATGACGCGCCTCTTGCAGTGCCGAAGGATATTTGTTCGTCAAGCTTGGGAGTCGCCGAGGTCGCAAAACCAGGGTCGTCACGATACACGGGGTCGGGCCCGGCAAAGGCCAACTTGGGTACAACTCACCGTAGAGCGGCAGACCTTGCGGTGCACCACACGTGGATGGTCGCGGCGCTGCGTGCAGTGGCGACCACTGCACGGGTGGATCTGTCCAGTGCAATTGGGATAAGCATGTACAGTACACATCTCGTTTGCACATTTGGACCCGGGCAGGGTCCCTAAAAACGGATCCTTTTAGGGGAGGGGGCCCAAAACAATGGGATCTGTACACCGCGTAACTTGCGCCATGTCTAGCCCCCGGGGGTGTGGGACCAGATGGGCGCGCACGAGCTTGCAATCGTCGCCAGTCCCAGCTGGCGTGGCGGCTCGAGTTTCCATCTTGTCTTTCTCACTCGCCAAATTCAGCGGTTCCGGCAAGACGATGATGAAGGGCTCGATGGCGCCGATGATGCTGACGCAGGCGCGCAAGGACGAGCTCCTCGAGGACATTGACTCGATGCTGCCGACGCTCCTTCAGTCCATGCGCCCGCAGGCGTCGCAATGGGACCTCAACTTTGTCCGGAACGGCGTCACGTGCTATGACAACGTGCACGCGGACCCGTACCACCGGCTTTGCCTCTCGGCGAGCACGGTCGCGTCGTCGCTCGACTCGGCCATGAGCGCGATGGCCACCGACACGACGTCGGCGCTTCTCCGCGCCGAGAAGGAGGCGCTTGGCGACCGCGTCTCGAACGCGACGGTCGTCTCGCCGCTGCGCCCGCGCACGCGCAAATCGCAGAACCACTACATTGGCATCAAGTGGATCGCATACAACATCAACGGCCAGCAGCGCTTCGACCTTGTCTTTTGCGACGCTGTTGGCACGGGCGTCGACCCGGTCTCGGGGCGCCGGTACGGGTACCGCGTCCTGCGGTCCATGGTGCTGCCCGAATGCATGCCGATCGAGGGGCTCCCGCGCGGCCACGTCGGCTTCAACGTCATCAAGTTTATCGAGACGGACGACCCGGGCATGCTCGACATGCACATCGCGGTCAACCTCCTCGTCGACGACGTCGCGTCGCTCTCGAGCGTCTTTGATCCGTTCCCGCAGACGACGCGTCTCCGGAGCTACGTCGAGCAGTTTTACAAGAAGCAGTCGGCGATTCCGGCGCGGCGCCACACGACGCCGCTCTTCCACTCGTTCTCCATGTCGCTCCTCGACGACCCGACAAAGGAGAAGAAGCCGTCGCAGTGCGCCTTGTGCCGCAAGAAGTTTCACTGGTTCCGCCGACGCCACGCGTGCAGCGAGTGCAGCAACACGGTCTGCCACTCGTGCGTCGAGACCATCAAGCTGCGCCGCGCCCGCCGCAAGATCTGCCTCGTGTGCCGCTGCACGACGACGCTCCAGGGCTCGAACGAGTCGCAGGCGTCGCCCCAAGGCCTCCTGCGCTACCGCGCGCCGACGCAGCCGCAGCGCCAGTCGCTCACGTCGCCGATTTATGACATTCGCATGAGTGCGTGGTCACCGCGGTCGATTGACGGCGAAACACCCACGAGCCGCCACACGGTCGCTGGGTACCCAGACTACGATCGCCCTACGACGCCGTCCTCGGTCATCTCGTTCAACGGCGGCGACAACTACGCGCCCCGCTACAGCAGCGAGCGCTCGTACATGGGCTCGAGCCGCGGCCACAACACTGGCGAGTCGCGTTCGATGGTCGAGCCGCCCGTCGGGCTTGGCTCGTCCCGGGGCGCGTCCGGTGGCCGGTTCATTTCGTTCCAGATGCCGTGGGACCAAAAGCACAAGCCGGCGCCGTCGGTCCGGACACCGGGTGGGAAGCGCATGGCAAATACAACCCGCGACACGGTCGACTACGAAGACGATATGCTCATGCAGCAGATCAACCGCACCTCTATTAGCAGCGTCTCGTCGCTCCATGACTGGAACCCCGTCGACATCACGGCCCGCAACTCGATCCCGTACGCCAACAGCGGCTGGACGCCCGTCGACCACTCGTCGATGCAGCAGGTCCGGTAGTCTCGTCGTTTTAACCTGACGTCATCATTTATTCCTTGTACGACTACATGGACTTGCATCTTCTTCCAGCTCCAAATGAACTCCCTTGCCAGCTCCACAGCCAGCTCGGACCCTCCGCATCAGGCCCAACAATGCTGGTGGTTGCTGACCACGCCGCCACATCGCCGTCTGCTATCGCCTTCTGCCTGCCGATCTCGTGCATATCACTAGTAGATATCACTAGACTGCGAAGCAGGTGCATGGCACCGTCGGACCACGCATGGACCAAGCTGCCCAGGGGTAGGTGTCGCCTCCATTTTATTTTCGGCACGACGCCGGTGTGATGCCGAATTTAGTAGATTCGTCAGCTGGATCGGCCACTTGTGTCGACAATGAGCGGCTTGTACTACGACCGGGAAACGGGGGCGACAACGCTCCTGGGCGAGGCGCGGGCGAAGCTGTCGGCGGCGGCGGCCAAGGCGAACGAGGCAGCGCCCGATGGCATCGACGTCTTCCAAACCCGCGACTGGACCATTGCGGCGAAGAAGAGCCACATCACGCCACTGCATGCGCTCGACTCGCTCGGGACGGCCATCAACATGACGCCGCCCGAGATGGTCTTTGGACACAACCAGCTGCTTCTCGTGCACGAGCCGTCGGGCTTTAGCCTCTCGTTCGTTGCTATGGAGGCGCTTGCGCACTGCCACTTCAAGGACGGCGCGACCGACCAACTCAAGGTCGCCGTGGCCAAGGAAAAAACGTACGCTTTTTGATGCGTGCGCTTCTGCTAGCTCACGTTGCACTACATGTCGTAGCGGGAACGAGGTCAAGGAGCTCGAGATTTCGTACGACTGGACGTATACGACAGACTACAAGGGAACGCTGGGGCGCGAAGACCGCGCGACGCACGTCGTGTCGCCCAGTGGCGTCCGCGTCGAACCCACGACGGAGCGCATCGACTTTGAGAAGCTCAAGGTTCGCGAGCCCATTCTGTGGAGCGGCGAGGTCAACCTGTACGAAGACGAGCTCCACGACCATGGCATCTCGGTCATGTCCCTGCGCATGGTACGCCTCATTGTTGCATGGAGCATTCGCGCACTGTCTCTTCTTAGCGCGTCATGCCCTCCGGCTTTTACGTCCTCGCGCGCTACTACATGCGTCTTGACAACGTGCTCGTGCGTCTTCATGAGACGCGCATCCACCACCTCTTTGGGTCTGACTACATGCTGCGCGAGTACACAGAGAAGGAGGCGGCGTTCGAGGCGCTCTTCGCCCAGGGACACCCGAACCACATGTCCCACTACACCAACGTGGACACGTACCAGCATCTCCTGTCGACCAAGACGGCGCAGTATGAAAAGGTCTTTCTCCAGTAGTCGTCGTCGGAGCAACACGTAATTTTGCACACGAATCGACTTCAACATCGTGCGTGGTGTTACGCCGCCAGTTGCATGGAGACGCAGAAGAGTAATCGCCACGTCACGCATCCACGAGCTGTCGCGGCGAGGCGATGGGCGGGTGCACGTGGGGGGTCCCGGTCTGGTCCCATCGCGCGTCGTCCGGCGATGACGCTACCGTCGACGGTCGGCCGTACGCAGTAGCAAGAAGCCAGCGCATCAACATGCTTGGTTGGACATCGATCAATACAGTTTGGCAACAAGCTGACTCAGTTGCGGTACTCCTCGTCGGGCAAGGCTACGCTTCCTTGAAGCTGGCAGCGCTGGTTGTGGATGGGGGCGGCTGCTGTGGGTTCTAGTATCGCTCGCACAATGGCCACGACTCCTACGCCCAGCCCACGTACTCGTAGCCACAAGGCTATCAGCGTCTACCTCGGCAGAAACGCGTTGCATGCAGCTACGCTGTCCCTGCCCCCTCCATGCAGCCGCGTCGTCGTCGCTGGCGCCGCAGCGGGTGTGTGGAGCAAAACCACTATCCGGATACGTGGTGCCCGTCGGCCCTCTATTTAAAATCCCACGACATCAAACACATTTTATTTAGAGGGAATTCCCCCAGAAAGCGTGCACAAACTAATTAAATAGCTTGCAGTTTATATCGTTTCGTCAACACGAAATAAAAAAGACATTGCGCACGGCAGTAAACACGTAAAAAAAGTACATCCGGATACGGCCCGATCCACGTTGCAATTAAATTCGCGGACGCACAATCCAACTCGCCGCCTGAGCCGATGGTCTTCCTCGCTGCCGACGACTCGGCGCTCGCGACCCGCGTCGTGCTCTACCTCCATGAGGTGCTGCACTCGCCTGCTGCCAACGAGATCATGATCAAGGTGCATGCGCTGCTCCGCTGGACCGGCGTCCCGCCGCCGTACCCTGACGCCGAGCGCACGGCCATCTCGGTGCTCACGACGATCGCGACGCTGCTGCTCTACTTCTTCCTCTTTGGGAAGCGCCACCGCCGCCGCCGCAACATGCTCCAGCAAGAGCTCGAAGAGGCCACGCGCAAGGTGCAGGAGCTCGAAGAGAAGCTCGCCGATATGGACGACGAAGAAGATGGCAACCGGTCGGGGAAGAAGAAGGAAATCCGCATCTGGATGGACGGCGCCTTTGACATGATGCACTATGGCCACATGAACGCGTTCCGCCAAGCCAAGGCTTTGGGCACGTACCTCGTGGTCGGTGTCAACGACGACAAGAGCATTACGGCGTGCAAGGGCGCACCGCCGGTCATGGACGACGACGAGCGTATTGCCTCGGTTGCCGGCTGCAAGTTTGTCGACGAAGTCGAGCCGCACTGCCCGTACATTATGAACGAAGAGTATTTGACCAAGATGATCAAGAAGCACCGCCTCGATTACATTGTGCACGGCGACGACCCGTGCATCGTCGATGGCAAGGACGTCTACGAGGTGGCCCAGCGCCTCGGCAAGTACCGCACGATCCCGCGCACGGAGGGTGTCTCGACGTCAGACATTCTCGGCCGCATGCTCCTCCTCAACAAGGCCCACCATCGCCACGACACGGTGACGCAGCTCTCGTCCAAGGTCAAGGCTAACTCATCGTCGGCGCTCCAACAGCGTCCATCCCGCTTCCTCACGACGAACCGCATGCTCCGCCTCTTCTCGGTCGGCAACAAGGACCCGGCCCCGACCGCGCGTGTCGTGTACATTGACGGTGCGTGGGACATGTTCCACCCGGGCCACGTCGACATCCTCAAGATGGCGAAAGCGCAGGGCGACTACCTCATTGTCGGTGTGCACAACGATGCGATCGTCAACAAGCACCGCGGTCTCAACTACCCGATCATGAACCTCCACGAGCGCGTCTTGAGCGTCCTCGGCTGCCGCTACGTTGACGACGTGCTCATTGATGCGCCGTGGCAGGTGACCAAGGAGATGATTGCGTCACTGCGCCTCGCGGTCGTCGTCCATGGCTCGCACCGCGACGCCGAAGACACGGACGCTGCCATGGACGACCACTACAAGTGCGCGCGTGAAGCCGGAATCTACCGCGAGCTCCCAAGCCCGCGCAATCTCGATGTCAAGGACATTGTCGACCGCATCGCCGAGAACCGCGAGCGCTTTGAGAAGAAGTTTGTCAAGAAGATGGAGGCCGAGAAGGAGTACTACGACGACCGGTACGCGCAGAAGAAGTAGATCACCGCTGCCGAGAGTCGAACGCGATCCTCCGTGGTCGCTTTCGTGTCCGTCGCGCAGTGTACTAGTAGTTTATATCCCACCCGTACCTTGTTTCGTCTCGGACTATAGTAGCTCAAGGTATTAGCCGAGCAGAACTTATAGCCGGGGCACGTGCCAGATGTGATTGGCACTCTGATGGGACCTCGCCACGCTCCTGCAGCCGCGCAGCTGCTATGCTGTTGCGTCGTCGTTGGCTGGGTCCTGGGCTGCATCGCTGGCGAAGCTCGCTGGCGACGTTCCGCCGTGCCACGTGCGAGTGTCGAAAATAAATGTAGCATGCGGCATGTGCCGAATTCATTTCGGACGGTACAAAAGATTTGGATATGTTGCAGTCGGTGGTCCGCGTTGGCGTCCGCCATGGCGCCCGCGCGCTCATGGTCGCCGCTCGCCCGTTGCCGCGCTTTGTCCGTAGTGAGACGCCGCTGATGCATTCGCGTCTGCTCATGCTGCCGATCGACATGCGCGGCCGGCACTTGTCCACGCGTGCGCTGGAAGACAACCCGCCCGACTGCCCGCAGTGCGCCGGCGCCAACACGTACTTTGATGGCGTCTCGCTCTTTGTGTGCCCCGACTGTAGCCACGATTGGGCCGTGGCCGCCGACGCAGCGGCTGACGCAGGTACATACGCGAGCCATGCATTGCCAGGTGGACTGAGCTCGTACGTGTAGAGACCAATGACGTATTCCGCGATGGCTTTGGCACAGTGCTCCAGAACGGCGACTCGGTCACCCTCTCCAAGGAGCTCAAGGCCGGGTCTGTCGTCTTGAAGAAGGGCACGAAGGTCAAGAGCATCCGGCTCGGCGCGTACGGCGACGGCCACGACATCTCGTGCTCGATTCCCGGAAAGGGCGCATTCCACCTCAAGACGCAGTTTGTCAAGAAGGCTTAATAAGCGACCAATCTAAGTCGTCTCCTACTTACAGCATGTACGACTACGACGTCTCGGGGTGGCAAAACGTGACGTTGAAGATCTCGGCCATCGGGCAGTTGTGGGTCTTGAGGTCGTCGCTCGGGTACAGGTAGGCGTCGGGCGCATCGTCGCGGGTGACATTGAGGCTGCGGCAGTTCTGTCCGTTATCGTACTTGGTGGGCTCGACGAGCATCGGAACGTTGTACCCTGTCTTGTTGGTCTCGGCCTTGCACAGGTCGAAGCTCATGCAGTTGCCGGGCTATGTAGACAGCCAATATGAAGAGGCCTGTAGGGCAATGCACAAGACGGACGTACGCCCGGCGGGATGTTGCTCACGTCGTACCACACGCTGTTGTATCCGGGTGAGTTGATGATCGAGTACTCGAGCACTAGAGGAAGCGACGCATGAGCCCATGGAGATTACGGTAGACGTACGGTTGGCTTCGTTCGACGCCGTGTGCTTGAAGAGCCCATGGTCCTTGAGGCTCGTGTTGCAGTTATTCCCGACTGTCTCACCGGGCGCGAGGTCGCAGAGCGGGACGCTGCCGCCGCCATGCAGCTCGATCGTGTAGTTGCAGCGGTTTGTGAAGCGGAACTCGACGGCGAATGCGGCGCCGAGGAAGGCGACGAGGTAGCTGGTGCTGACCATGGCGAATAAGCAAGTGAAGTGCTTCCAGCGCCCAGCAGCGTCTCTGGGACGTGGCCAGTACGCAGCCTTTCCCGAGCTGCCTCTGCATCGTGTGTGAATATGTAGATATTGGAATATTGGACGCCATGGCACGCCAATATAGGACCAGGCGCACACGACTAAGAACGTAGCATGGCGGAAACACTCGGATCCGTCGAGAAGAGCCAAGAAGAGTCGACCAGCCGACGATCGCTCCTCATTGGATCCTCAGACGTGACCTCGCTGCATGGATAGATAGGTGCAAGGCCGCCAAGCATGAGGCCCTCCCCTCTCCACGGAGCAGCGAAGCGAGTGCTGCAGCCAGGCCAATGCAACACGCGCTATTAATAGGGAAGGAGCAGGATCCGCGACGCCGTGAGCGAGTGGGCTCTGTGGGTGCAGCGCCGTAGCAAGACGTCACTTGGTGACGAAGCTATGGACCGACGACTGGACGTCAAAGCACGTCCACAAGCGCTTCCGTCGAGCGATGCACCGCAGTACGTAGTCCATCATCCGTGTGCATATTGGCTCTGTCCTTCGTGTTCATTCCTCGTGGCCGAGCCGGTTGGGGGTATTGAATGCATGGACAACCAGCGGTAGCTTTCTGTGTTCTCAGGATGCACTCTAGCGCGGCGACACTAGGCTAGGTGGTTGAGCGAACCATTTCATCTCGGTCCCTTTCTCGGACAAGTCCTTCTGACAGTCAGACAGTCAGGTATGCTGATGGTGTGCTAGTTCGCGTCTGGTGACCACCGCAGCAATCGCAGATCTGCAAATGTGTTTGCATACACCTTGGGCTCAAGCCTGTGCTGACAGGCAGGACGAGTGTACTGACAGGACGGCGGCGCACAGAAACGGCGCCAGATTCAAAGACAGGGCAGGACACCCATGCGTGGCCTCGTTTGATTGGCCAGCTAACGGGCGAGTGCCACTCCGGTTGCCACGTGGATGGAGGTCCACTTGCATTTTCATCGACACTCGACACCAATATGGACGTGCCGCAGACCATCGTCAACAACCTCGTCAGCTACGCAAGCTATCTCAACGTGACATCGGCGCACCTTTTGGACCTCTCGACTGCCTCGCCCGACGAAGTCCCGCTCCGGTACGGCGTCTTTGCGACGCTCGTCGTCCTTGGCCTCCTCCTTGGCACGCGCGGGCATCAAGTGCCACGGCTCCTTATTGGTGTGCTCATGATTCCGGTGGGCCTTGCCGGCCGCCCGGTGGAGCTTCTCGGGTGCTCGGAGTTGCTCTGCCTCGAGAGCCTCGGGTTTGGTCTTCTCGTCGGTGCACTCTTTGCCGCGCGACCGGCCTGGGCCATCCGCCTCGTGTACTGCGCCGTCATGGCGCGCACGTTCAGCCGCGTCCTAGGCGATCTTCCGCACAAGGATCTTATTGCGCCGGGCGCGGCGCTTATTCTTGCGACCCTCGTGCTCGAGTTCAAGGACTCGACGGTGCGCGCCGTGGCGATGGTGCTTTCGTCGATTCTCGGTGCTCTCCTTGTCGTGAGCGTCTCGACGGTTGCCATCGGTCCCGTGACGCTTGTCGTCTACGGCGTCATGGCCATGTGGTTCTACCGCATCCAGCGCGAGCATATCGCCAAGCTCACGCCCAAGTCCAAGCAAGATTAACTTTTAATACGACAGACTTAGGTTATACCCTTCTTCGCTTTCAACGTTCGCTGTGCTATGGCGCGTACAAAGTTACAATTTGGAGCGGTCCGCGCGAGCTTGGCATTCCCATCACGCCACATCCACCAGGCGGGCGTCTGACTAACATCTTGTCGCGTCGTGGCATTTGATCAAGCGCTTATCGGCTAGTCAAATCATCTCCCTCGATACGTACAAAGCAAACATGGCGACGATGAACGCTCGTTGTACGAAGCACAGCCATCGCCATCCACTGTCCGACGCAAAACTACGTACCGATTGCCCTATGCGGATCTTTTGCTCGTGGAATGAGGCGTCCAGGCTTTAAAGTACACGGGGACTACCTCGTAAGATAGGCAGGATGGAACGATGGTACGTCGTTCGAAAGTCGATATTCTCTACTTCTCTTCTTCGCTTTAGTTGGGCACGTTTGTTTGTGAAGTCCCCACAATTTATGCGGTACTCGTCTTCGTGAAGCACACGAGATATTTGAGGGATCGGCGGATATTATATCTGCGGAAACGAAGCTCGTGACGGCGGCAGGACACCCGCCTGTGCGCGCCGCTCCATCGTGAACCCACCGTGTATGGATGGCGTGGATAGTACGGGTCGTGGAAGGGGATATATTGCTTACGATAGATCCAAGTGCAGTTGCCGCTTCGTTCATTCATGTCGTTGCGCAACGATTAACGAAGCCTTGTTCCTACCTAGGTGCAAATTCCGTCGTACGGAGGTCGTTGCTCCGCCCAGCGCCTACTGTACTAGCGGGGCAAATGGTATACTCGGTCTAAGCTGCAACAGCGTTCAACTGGAGAGCGACCCTTCGCCTTTGCAGCAATTCTCTAGACCATGCCCCACCGATAGCTCTGAGAATTAGTCGTGTAGCAGGCGACTAAGTACACTGTACGACTCGCGGAGCCGACAACGACGCCATCCGCTCGCATCAGGTGCGACTTGTTGAGCAAAGGAAGTCCGACGTGCTAGTTGTCCGATTGAAAATGGATACAAAATGCAGCTGAACGGCGGACGTCGTAGTAAACGAGACACGATTCGACACGCCTCCTTGTCCGCTCGGTAGCGCTTGAAGTTCAATCGACGCTTGTGTCATTGCCGACGTCGCAAAGACGCTCGAATGGGTGCGTCCACAGCAGCGTGCGCCAGAGGCTCGCGCCTCACCGTCCGACCGTTCGTTTCGTGGCTTCCGTGACGCCACGTGGCCGCCAAGCTCGTTGCGTTGAACTTGAAGTTCCGGTTGTTGAAGACCAGATCCTTGCGATCAGCGCTATTTCATAGCCCAACTCCATTGTACGAATAAAACTGATAATCTAGATGACAACCTTAACAACTCTGTAAATGTCCTTATATTGCCCACCGGACGCGCCTCTGAAGTTGAATACTTTGAGACGCTTGAAAACGAGGCGGCGCTGGGAAAGGCGGTCGTGCGAGGTCGTAGCTCTGACGCCACATTTGCCTTGGACATAGCTTGGCGCGTGCAACGCCGCCTTTTTCGTTGCGTCAATGGCGTCAATCTCAAAGGAAGTCGGGGTGGTTGCACCTGGGTAGCCCGACGTGCTTCAACCAGAATGCTGCGCTCCGGCCAACTGGATTTGACACAGAGTGTACACGTCGCACCCAAATCGTTCGAGAAACGAGTGCGGAGACAGGGACATGCCGCGCTGCTGGTTCGACGAGGGAAGCCGCCGACGACGCTACAGCGGACCAAGAAGCTCACCTAGGAGCACTGTATTATTTCACTACAGATTAAAATAATTTTGCTATTTCACCGTTGAAGCTCCAAGTGCAGTGGACGAAATCGTCCGAGTTGACATTGCCAGCGAGTTCCTACGACGACGACGCGGCGGTAAAAGCGCTGGCGACCGTCCGTTTGCATGCGTGGCTCTGGGATTTCTGAGAATGAGCCAATGAGATGGGCTCGTCTCCCTTCTTGGACCAATGATACATCTGAGAATGCGTTGATTGGTCGAAAATCCACGATTTGCACTGGCTTGATCGCGGTTCTTGAAGCAGGCGACACGACAGGTGGGCACCCGTCACACGCGCTGTGTCGCAGGTGACCACCCCGATGTTCGCTTGCTAACGTACCCAAATTGGCCCAATCCACGGCGCAGAACCATCCGCACCACATACGGCGGGTGTCTCTACCCGGGTACGTGGCCTCTCGCCTCGCTGGATCTCGTCACCTTTGCACCCGCGGGTCTCTTCTGCGGCTTGTCGACCTTCTTGTCGGCCAATTTGGCGTTGATAGAAACGCTCCCCGGCTACTTTGTGCAGCGATGATGGATGCGGCGACCATTTTATCGCGTTATACCGGCCAAAGCGACTTTGGTGGAGCGCACTTCGAGGCCGAGACGCAGAGAGGGACTCATGCAGCGAGTGAAGCGTCCACTGCCGCGCTGGGAGGATCGATCCCTGCATCACCTACACCAAACCAACTCCCGTGACCTTCTGCGTCGAGTCGATTCATCGTTGTACGAGGTGTCACCGTCTGGCGATGGCCGCGACACGCCAAGTACAGTCCTCCAGCAGCTGGTACTAGGGCTCTGCTTACAAATCGGTCCCAAGCGGTGTGTTCGTAGTGCTCATTTTCCGATTTGCTTTCCGCCGCACACAGCAGTCAAAGTAGCATCATGGCGGGCTCAAGCAACAAGTTTATGACCATTGAAGACTTCAAGGCGGCGTTTTCGCTCTTCTGTTCCGTCTGCGGCGTCGGCTCGCTCGGTCTCCCGGGCAACTACGCGCGCGCCGGGTACTTTTGGGCGTCCTTCGGCTTCTTCTTCATGGCGGCCGTCAACACGTACGCGACGTGGTGTATCGCCAAGGTGATGCTGGTCGCGCCCCAAACGGTCTTTACGTTTGGTGATCTTGCCGAGTGGAGCATGGGCAAGGGCGGTCGCTACGTCACGACGTTTGCGCAGACCGTCATGTGCACGCTGCTTCCCATCGTCTTCCTCGTCCTCGGTGGGTCGCTCCTTGTCGTGCTCTTCCCGATGTCGTTCTCGCAGACGACGTGGATCGTCTTGATGGGCATCACGCTTCTCCCGGTCTGCCTCATCCCGACGCTCAAGGAAGGTGCTGGCGCCGCCGCCGCCGGCTGCCTCGGCACGATCTTTGCCGATGGTATTGCGCTCTACCTCCTCATCACCAACATGCAGGACGTCAACCCCACGGGCATCTCGCCGCCCGGCCCGGAGATTGGCTTTGAGCAGGTCACGACGGTCTTTGGCAACCTCGCGCTCGCGTACGGTGCCGGTATCATGATCCCGACGCTTCTCCGCGAGCACTCGGAGCCGGAGCGTCTTCCGAAGCTCATTCTGATCACGATGGGCGTCATTTGCAGCTTCTTCCTCCTCGTCTCGATCCTCGGTGTCTTCTCGACGGGATGCCAAACGCCCGGCAACCTCCTCTTCTCGATCGCCAACCCGGCGCTTGGCTTCACGGCGGACCGCGGCTTTGTGATTCTCAGCTTCCTCTTCATGCAGCTCCACATTACGATCGCGTTCGCTGTCGTCATCTTCCCCGTCTTCCAGATCATGGAGCGCATCTTCCTCCGCATGCACATCTACGAGCTCGACGCGCCGCTTGCGTCGGCCAACGACATTGAGACGCCCGCGATCGACGCTGTCGGCACGTCCTTCCACGATGAGAAGGCGCCGATTGTCAACCACATCGACCCCGCGGATGCGTACAAGGTGCCGGGTGCTTACTTCAAGGCCGCGACGCTCCGCACCATCATGGTCGTGCTCTGCGTCATTGTCGCTGTCATCTGGAAGGACCACCTCGGCTCGCTCATGGACTTTGTCGGCGCGTCGTCGTCGTGCACGGTGTGCATGATCCTCCCGATCATTTTCTACAACAAGACGTTCTGGACGACGACGTCGATCGCGGAGAAGGCGATTGGCGCCGTCTTTGTCCTTGTGACCGTCTTCCTCGCCATTTACGTGTCCATCAACACGGGCAAGGAGCTCTTTGCGCCGGAAGCCAAGGACGCGACAATCCTCTTCCCGCTCTGCCCCACAAACTACCAAAAGGTCGTCTTCACCAACACGACGCACTTTGCGCCGAGCCGCGCGCTCTTTGGCTACTAAGGAAAGCCGCGTTATGTTATGTAGTCTACCAGCCACGGAAGCTGTATATCTTTATCGAACACCCAATTTGTCGTTCATCTTCCGTGTTTTCTTGGCAAGGAGCATAACGGCGTCCGAATGCTCGACAGACAATAATGTGTGGTGAAGCGTGGTCGAGAATTCTTGTGGCCAGCAGATGGCGTCGACGGTGCGATGGGTCGCGTGCTAACGCAGCGTTTCTGAGAAACTAGTGTATGCTCACAAAACAGCTGTTTCTTATATCAGAGAGAGGTGCACCGACAATACGACGATCATCAACACCGTGCATTGGTCTGGGATGCATTTAATCGTGTGAAGAATATGTCGACCTAGTACAAAGATCATGAACGCGCAAAGCAAGGCTTCTATACTGCAATAGAATGGGCGTCGCACGAAGCTGACACTTGGCGCAACGTGTGACCAACGCGATGATTGCGTCACCGGACAGCATGTAATGTTTATGTGTGGCTGCGATCGCTTGGGTGTTGTCGGGACACCGAGGCGATGTTGACAAATCGACGAGCAACTGGGTGGCACATGGAAGGGTACGAGAGAACGAACCGATGCGTCTTCATTTGGCCGCCAGCGAAGATTCCAGCGCCAGCGTCAACCTACTGTGCTCGGAGTAATCGGCGTGTTGACGCCCCGAGCAGTCTCCGTCATGGAAGCGTTGAGGACAGAGTCAAGACAATAAGACACGATGATTCGAACCCATGTCCACCGATTTCAATACTTGTAGACCCTCGATCGAATCGCCGTCTTGTCATGGGAAAGCAACTATAAGATCTTTGCTGAGTTGACGCATCAGCCGCGTCCTCGTGAGCGCTCGTCATGGAGGAGCTACAAAATGAGATGATTGAGACCTAAAACAGCAGAAAAATGAGCGGCCGCGATGCGAATTGACGGTTGAGTCGACTGTCGTTGTGTAACTTAACCCGAACCGGCACTCTGCGCCCGCCAAAGGCGCTTTTGGGGAATGTGGAATGACGGGCAATTTCGCTCATTTTTCCGCATTTTGGGTCTGGGCTCATTTTTAATCTGATTGTCGCTGCTTGCTGCTAGTCAGGCGGGAGCCATGTCAACAACTGGTACCAAAGCACCGGCAAGCAGACTGCCTGTAGTTTGGCCACCTTGCCGACAAGGGACATTGTTTGTGGGACCAGAGCTCCAGCCGTTCCATGAGTTTGGTCAGCGTGTCGTCAAAGCGAGACGTTTCCGGAAGGCCCGGAGTATCAAGCTTCGCCGATACTTGATCATCCAGCTCGCTGGTAGCCAACCTTTACAAACGTTCGACCTCCCCCACCAGCGACAGCGACGGGACGCGAGCGTCCAGTGGTGAAGGTTGACCATTTCGAGGTTGAGAAACGAACAACAAAATCTTCGAATGCAACGCTGCTCGAACAAGAGATGCTTTGTGGGCGGTCCGGCCGCAGCTCTCTCTTGGGACATCGTAGTGTGTGTGGAGGGATGTTGTTCGACGTTCTGCATCACCAACTCTTCACTTTGGACCTCATTCTCCAAGTTGCCTGGCTACCATGAAGCTGCTTTGGGTTTTCGCGCTTGCGAACGCTGTCGCCGTCTCGTTTGGCGTGGAGCTTCTCGAAGACATTGCCAAGTCGTGCTCGTGCGATACCGACTGTCCGCAAATCACGTGCTTCGCCGCCCCGACGTGCTCGAACGGTCGCTGCGCGTACACACAAAAGCCCATGGGTGCCAAGTGCCCAGGCCAGAGTTGCTCGAACGGAGGCGTCTGTGACGACGACGCCAACGACTATTGCAACGCCAAGGCCGAATGCATCAACGGGTTCAAGCCGTCGACGACCACGTGTCGCGCCGCCAGCGGCCAATGCGATGTCGCCGAAACGTGCACCGGGTCCTCGGGCATGTGCCCAATCGACAGCTATCAGCCTCCGACGATGTCGTGCTCGGGCGCAAGCAACGGTGGTCCATGCGACGCCGAGGACAAGTGCGACGGCTTTGGCAGTTGCATTGATGTGTTCTTGCCGTCGACAACCATTTGCCGCAAGGCCGCCGGCGCGTGCGACGTGGCCGAAACCTGCTCGGGTACTTCTGGTTCGTGCCCCGTGGACCAGTTTGCGCTGAAGGACAAGTCGTGCAGTGGATCGTCAAATGCTGGCGCCTGCGACGGACAAGACGTCTGTGACGGCAAGGGCAACTGCATTGACGTGTATTTACCGTCAACGGCGGTCTGTCGCGCGTCCAAAGGCGAATGTGACTTGGCTGAAACGTGCTCTGGGACGTCGAGTGCCTGTCCTGCCGACGGCTTTGCCGGTGTGACGACCCAGTGCACGGGCACCTGCAACGGCGGTCTCTGCGACGACCAGGATTACTGCGACGGCAAGGGCAAGTGCGTTGACAAGTTCAAGCCATCCACTGAAGTGTGCCGCACCGCAGACGGCGCTTGCGATGTCGCCGAGACTTGTACGGGTTCTTCGAGCTCGTGTCCTGCCAACAAGTACGCCACGACCTCGGTCCCATGCACAGGCAAGTCGAACGGTGGAGAGTGCGACGCCCAAGACTATTGCGACGGCAATGGTGGCTGCGCTGACAAGTACCAGAGCTCCACATTCGTGTGTCGCGCCGCCAAGGGCGAGTGTGACGTGGCTGAAACCTGCTCCGGTACTTCGGGTGCGTGCCCGACCAACGCATTCAAGTCGTCATCGGTCCCGTGCACGGGCACCTGCAACGGCAACCCATGCGACGCCCAAGACTACTGCGATGGGAAGGGCAACTGCGTCGACAAGTATCAAGACTCCAAATTTGTGTGTCGCGTCGCCAAGGGCGCTTGTGACGTCGCTGAAACTTGCTCAGGCTCTTCGAGTCAGTGCCCGGTCGACGCCTTTGCAGCCACCACGGTCACCTGCTCTGGTACGTCGACCGGTGGGGATTGCGACGCCCAAGACTACTGCGACGGCAAAGGCAACTGTGTCGACAAGTACTCTCCGTCGTCCAAGGTGTGCCGCCCTACCAAGGGCGACTGCGACGTGGCCGAAACCTGCTCGGGTTCGTCGGGTCAGTGCCCGACCAACGTCTTTGCGTCCACCGCGGTCAAGTGCACTGGCACGTCAAACGGGGGCGGGTGCGACGCCCAAGACTATTGCGACGGAAACGGCAACTGCATCGACAAGTATCAAGGCTCCGGGTTTGTGTGTCGCGCCGCCAAGGGCGACTGCGATGTAGCCGAGATTTGTTGCGGCTCGAAGGGCGCGTGCCCGGCCGATACGTTTGCTGGCACAAGCACCAAGTGCTCGGGTACTTGCAATGGCAACCCGTGCGACGATCAAGACTACTGCGACGGCAAGGGCAAGTGCGTCGACAAGTACAAGCCGTCCGGCACCGTCTGCGGCACCAAGGGCAACCCGTGCATTCTGGCGGCCACGTGCTCGGGTGACATGGGTTTTTGCCCACCCGATGACTTTGCGTCGTCGTCGACGTCCTGCACCGGCACCAAGAGCGGCGGCATCTGCGACGGCAGGGACGTTTGCGACGGCGAAGGGTCATGCGTTGACAAGTTCCTCAACGGCGTCGTGTGCCAAAAGCCCGCCTGGTACAGCCGCCCGACCTACTGCAACGGCAAGACGTCGAGCTGCCCTGTTTCGAGCTACCTCAGTTTGCGCGAAGTCAATGACGACGACGTGGCGGTCACCGAGCAGTTGCTGGCGACGATGCAGTCGTCGTCGTCACCCTTGGTGCTCCTCGGTCTCGTGTGCGTCGTCGCCATCGGTGTCGCGCTCGTGGCCATGCGCCAGCAGCAACGCAATGTTTGGCAGCACGACTACAAGGAGCTCTTCATGTAAGATGGCGACATCGAACAACGCCGATTTTGCAACATTTTCAAGACGCTGCTTGTATACTGATGGAGCTAGTTTGCACCTAAGAAGACTAATATACATCTATCTCATCCATCTTTTTGCATTTTCTCGACTGGTATCACAAGAATCACTTCTGCCACGGGACAAAACGACCTGTCTGCCGAGAAACGAACAGTCTTTCGTACCTGCAATTTGGTTTATAAGTCTACCAACCGTACCAATAACTGATTTATGATATGAAATGATATGGATTGAAATCTTTATACAGACTAAAGACTCCACGATTTATACTCGTGAGCCAACCAACCGTCCAGACTTCGGAACGCCAACGATGACGTGGCACCACGAGAGTGCGATCTGGACCTCTCGGATGCACAGAGTTGCGCAGGAAGCGAAGGAGCCGTGCTTGATAACCGGCGGACGCACTGCCTCTTGAGAAGTAAATGTGTCGTCCAGCGCACTGTACTGTGTCGTAGTATTGCTCAAGGAATTGCATCGCGTTGTCAGTCCGACTTTTGGTGGGCAAAATGAGTAATTGCTCGACAGACCACCTGCGTCACGGACGCGTGTAGGTGTCGACGGGCCAATCAGAATCTCAGTTATGTCCGCTGAGTGATCCTCTACCCTTCTCATTCCTACTTTGGTAGGGCTCACTAGTACGATGTCGCAATGACTACTCGTTGGGGGGCGTCGCGTTGCACTTGTCTCGTCGCCTTGGACTCGAATGCGCTGCTGCAAGGTGCAAGGCACTCAGAGGAGGAAGGAATGAAGTTCCGAGGTCGACACTGATTGGCTGTATCCACGTAACCTCAATGTGATTGGTCGGATCGCGACGGTGGTCTATCCTGCTCATTTTAGATTTGCATCCGATGGCAACAACAACGCCGTACGTGAGCCTCGAGAAGACCCGGCATCCCGTCGAGACAGCCGGCGCTGCGTCCATGGCCACCATGGCATGGCTCGACCCGCTCATCCGCCGCGGCGCGCGGACGCCGCTCAACGAGGCCGACGTCTGGCCGCTCTGCCAAGTGGACACGGCCGCCGCCGTCCACGATCGCTTCCAAGAGCAGTGGCAGCTCGAGCGCCAAGCGATTGCGCCTGCTTTGCACAAGGCCATTTGGCGCACGTTTCGACGCGAGATCCTATCGACGATTGGCTTGTACCTCGTCTCGGCGGGCCTCACGCTGCTCCAGCCCTGGGTCATCAAGTCGATCCTCGAGTACCTCCAGGCGCCACCCGGGAACGTGGTCACAAGCTTGGGCATCTCGTCGGGCTACGGCCTTGCTGGTCTTCTCGCAGGTCTCTCGATCGTTTCGATCGCGTGCGCGGACTATGCGCAGTACATTGCGGCGCACATTGGCTGCAACGTCAAGACGATCTTTGTCGACAGCGTCTATCTCCACACGCTATCGCTCTCGAGCACCTCCAAGCAGCAGGTCTCGTCCGGCGACGTGGTCGCCATGGCCACGATCGACGCAGAGAAGATGCTCCAGGGATTCTGGCTCGGCTTTTGGTCGCTCGTCGCCCCGTTGATGCTGCTCGTCATCATGCTTCTTATCGGCGTCGAGCTTGGCGTCGCGACGGGCCTCATTGGGGGCGGGTTCATGCTGCTCTTCATGGTTGCCGGGTACCTCTCGGGCACGCGCGTCGGCGCTGTGAAGCGACGCCTTCTCAGCGTCCAGGCGGAGCGCGTCAAGCTCATGAACGAAGTGCTCCAAGGCATCCGCGTCGTCAAGCTCTACGCGTGGGAGAAGGACTTGGAAGCGCACATTTCCGCAGTCCGCGCCCGCGAGTTTGAGCTCATCAAGACCTTCCAAGCGCTCCGTGTGCTCAACACCGTGACGCTCTTTGCGGCGCCCTTGGTGACCATGGCGGTCGTCTGGGTCTCGTACATTGGGCTTGGCCACACCATGGACCCGACCAAAGCGTTTACTGTCATGGCGCTTCTCAACGCCGCGCTGCTGCCATGCACCATCTTCTCGAATGCCGTCATGTACGCCTCGGAAGCCTACGCGTCCTCGCAGCGCGTCAACAAGTTCTTGCTGCTCGATTCGATGCCGCCGGCGCAGCTAACTCCAGCGACGAGTGCCGCACACGTCTCGCTGCGTGACGCGGCCTTTGCGTGGGAAGACTCTTCGCCGGTGCTCCACGACCTGCAGCTCGAGCTGCATGGACCGTCTCTGACGGTGCTCGTCGGGCCTGTTGGCAGCGGCAAGTCGAGTCTCGTGCAGGCCATCTTGGGCGAGATGCACCAGCTCCACGGCACCCGTGACGTCGCCGGCAACGTGGCGTACGCGAGCCAAGAAGCGTGGATCCAACATGACTCGCTGCGCAACAACATCCTCTTTGCAGACGTCTATGATGCAACCAAGTACAATGCAGTGCTCGACGCGTGCCAGCTCCGCGCCGACCTGGCCATGCTACCGGACGGCGACGCGACCGAGATTGGCGAGCGCGGTATCAACTTGAGTGGCGGCCAAAAGGCGCGCGTCGCATTGGCGCGCGCCTTGTACAAAACGAACGCGGACCTCGTGCTGCTCGACGATCCGCTGAGCGCCCTCGACGTCCATGTCGCCAGCGCCGTCTTCACCGACGGACTCACGCGCCTCCTTGAACACAAGACGACGCTTCTCGTGCTCAACAGCCACTATCACCTTCTTGCCCACGCCGACCGCATCCTCGTGCTGGACCACGGACGCATCGTCGCCGACGGCTCGTACGCCGACGTCATGGCAACGTGTCCGCACTTGGTGACGAATGGTATGACAATGACGACGTCATCCCCCGAGACACCGGCCACCGCAGCGACTGTCGCACCGGACACCGTGGCAAAACCAACGACGTCTGGTGGTCTTGTGGCTCAAGAGGAGCGGGCGATCGGCGCCGTCTCGGTCGCTACGTACGTCAAGTACTTTGGCGCGAGCGGCTGGAACGGGCGGTACGTCGGGGCATCCGTGCTGCTGAGCTACCTCGTGTGCCAAGGCGTCGTCGTCAGTGGGGACTTGTACCTCTCGCACTGGTCCAACGCGCCCTTGCGGGCGTCGAGCGTCGCGTCGAGTTGGTCGTACGCAAGCATCATATTAGCAGCTGTTTTGCTCGTGTGGGGCCGCAGCATGTACGCCCTCTTTGTGGCCCAGCGCTGCTCGCAGTCGTTGCACACGCGTCTCTTCCGCAAGGTCCTCTCGCTCTCAGTGCCAACGTTCTTTGACGTGACGCCGATCGGTCGGATTCTGAACCGGTTCTCGACGGACCTCGACCTCCTCGACTCGCAAGTGCCCTTCTACGGCTTTATGCTGCTCCAGTTCGTCTTCCAGATCCTCGCCGTGTTGCTCGTGTGCGGCGCGACAACGCCCTACGTCATTATCTTGTACCCGGTCATGCTCGTTGCGTTCTACAAGGTGCTGCAGTACTTCAACCCGACGGCGAGTGCGCTCAAGCGACTCGAGAGCGTCACGCGGTCGCCGCTGGTCACGAGCATCTCGGAGACGCTGCACGGTCTCTCGACGATCCGCGCGTTCAACTTGGCGCCGACCTTCCTGACCACGCATCGACGCAAGCTGGACCACCACATGCAGTTCTTCTCGACCTTCTACATGGCCCGTGCGTGGTTTCAGATGCGCCTCGATTGGCTCTCGGCCGCCATCATCGTCGTTGTCGCCTTCCTCTGCATCGGTCTCCAGACGTCGCTGGGCGTCGTCTCGGCCGGCCTCTCGCTCACGTACGCTGCGCAGCTCTCGGCGTTCCTCTCGAAATGCGCCATGTTCTACAACAACGTCGATACGATGATGACGTCGGTCGAGCGGCTCGCGTTCTACGACGGCCTCGAGAGCGAAGACGACGCGGCGACGACGGTGCCAGCCCCGGATATGTGGCCAACCCACCCGACGATCGCCTTTGAGAACGTTGGGATGCGGTACCGGGCGCACCTTCCGCGGGTGCTGACCGATGTGCATGTCACGGTCGCTGCCAAGGACAAGATTGGCATTTGCGGCCGGACCGGGTCGGGTAAGAGTTCGCTCATTAGCGCGCTCTTCCGCCTCGTACCGACTGACGCGGGCGTGATCCGCATCGACGGCGTCAACATTGCCCAACTGCCCGTCCAGCAGCTGCGGTCCAAGCTCACCATCATCCCGCAAGACCCGGTGCTCTTCTCGGGGTCGCTGCGCTTCAACTTGGACCCGTCGGGGACGGCGTCCGATGCGGAGCTCTACAGCGCGCTCAAGCGCGTGCAGTTGGCCTCGTACGTGGCGACGCGGGGCGGGCTGGAGATGACAGTGACCGAGAAAGGCGGCAACCTCTCGGTGGGCCAGCGACAGCTGCTCTGCATCGCGCGCGCGCTGCTGCGCGACACCAAGATCGTCGTGCTGGACGAAGCGACGGCCAACGTCGACATCGAGTCGGACAAGCTCATTCAAGACGCGGTGCGGACGTGCTTTGCAGAGATGACGCTGCTCGTAATCGCGCATCGCCTCGAGACCATCCTGCACTGCGACAAGATCCTGCTGCTTGACCAAGGCCGCGTGCTCGAGTACGACACACCGACGAACCTTCTCGCGATTGACGGCGGCGCGTTCCAAGGCCTCATGCAGCAAGCTGGCCTCGCATAGTCCATACCTAGTGTCTCTTGCTGGTCAATACTAGTCCCTTCGCTTGTGATTTGAGCTTGACGCAAGTCGCCAAACATCGGCGCACGCAGCACGACGTCACTGGCTGGCCGAACGCGACGATGGAGGTAATGCTAGCTTTGGTCTGGCCTTCTACTGCCTCCACGCGTGTGTCGCTATCAAGTGGGGAAGGCGCTAGGGCCTTTGGGTAGGGCGTGAGCTGGGTAAGACGGAAGCTGGGCGGGCTGCTGGGCCGCACGACGGAGGCAATGCTGTTGGCCTTTCTTGCGATCTCAACGCGGTATCTTTTTCAGTTGACTTTTGATCAAATAACTTGCGTTTTGTATGCCTCGCGTTCAACACATGGCTTGAAACTCCAAAATCGAACGTTCGCTGCGGACGTCGATGGCCGAGCACCCGCGGGCCCTCTCGCTGGCGCTCATGGCAGACCGCAAGGCGCCGACGATGCGTCTGCAGAGAGAGCTGCGGCGGCCCGCGATGCGCCTGCCCTTCGACGACGAGCTTCTCGAGACGCGCCAAGCAGCCAAGTCGCCGGCGTCGCCGACCGAGATTGTTCGACCCAAGTCGCGACTGCGCGTGCCCACAAAGTACCGCGGCCGAGCACTGGAGCCGACGACGACGCGCAAGCAGTTGCGACCAGCTGCTTCGCCCCGGGGTCTGTCCGAGGACGACGACGAGCCATCCATCTTTGGCTCGTACCGCAGCACGCAGACAAGCCCCACGTGGACCAAGACGCGCGCTTCATCGGCGACAGCGTCGCCGTTGACGTCGACCGACCTCTCAGACGACGGCGACTTGCTTTCGCCAAGTCTTCGATCGTTCTCGTCGTTGTCGCGGGCCGCATCGGACGACCGGTTCGAGTTGGCGCGCCGCCACAAGAGCAACAACGACGATGACACCACCGAGAAGCGTTCCGTGTCCCGTTTGCAGCAGCCAATGTTGCTCACGCCGCCACGGTCCATGGGGCGTATGACGCCTGCGACACTCTCTCCGGCGAGCTCGCCAGAGCCGCCACAGCGCACCTCGGTGTTTCGGCGTCCGCTCGCGCCGCCGTCGCCAATCTCACGGTCGACGGAGACGCTGCTGCTGACGCGCGTGCATTATTTAACAGAGGCGCTTGTGAGTGCCAACCAGTACCACAAGAAGACGCAAGAGCACTTGGCGTGGGCGCTGCAGTCGATGGCGCCGTCGGACCCGTCGACGCATCGTCGTCCGGCACCACAGCGCGATGACGGCCGACTCTCGGCGCTCTCCGACTGCGTCTCGGCGCTGCAACTCGACCAGCGCGCGCTCAAGCAAACCTTTCACGCGCACGTCACCGCGTTCACACACGATTTCGACCAGCTGCGCCGCATGGTCACGCAGCAGCAAGACAAGGCCGTGCACCAGAGCTCGCACGTGCGCGCGCTGCAGTCGCAGTACGCAGCCTTGCTCGACGAGCGCAAGAAGCTGCACAATACCATCCAAGAGCTCCGCGGTACGCCTATCGCATCGACGCTCGTCTCATCCAAAATCCAGGCAACATTCGTGTGTACTGCCGCATCCGCCCCATCGTCGGGCGGCTTGGTGTGCGTGTTGACTCGCATGAAGCGCTCACGGTCAAGACCGACGACGCGTCCGAGACCTCGTTTGTCGTCGACAAGGTGTTTGACGAGCGCACGTCCCAGCGTCGGTGCCCAGGATGTCGCTGCCGTAGCTCACGCGCCTCGTCGATTAGGAGACGTCTACTACGAGATCGCACCGCTCGTCACATCCGCGCTCGATGGCTACAACGTGTGCATCCTTGCCTATGGCCAAGTCCGCAAATGTGTCCGTAGAAGCTGTCCAACTGACGTGCTCGTCATGTAGACGGGGTCGGGCAAGACGCATACGATGCTTGGTGACGTCCGCAGCGTCGAGACGAGGTTGTGTTTGTCTGCTTGATGCTGGCTCACAAATTGATGTGCTAGCGGTATCTCAATCCGCGTGTTTGAGCAGCTTTTTGAGCAAAATCGCACTGGCGAGTACGCTTGTCCGAGGCTACGACGGCGCGTCATGTTCCCATGGTGTAGCACCCACGTGGAGCTTTCGGTCGTGGAGATTTATAACGAAAAACTCGTCGACCTCCTCGGCTCCGGACAGCCCAAGCTCGAGATTCACTTGGACAAGAAGGCTGGCGTCTCGGTGCCCAACCGCCGCTGGGTACGAGAGAAGCATATATCTCGGACCAAGGAGCTCAGTCGCGCGCGTAGATCGCCATGACGTCGGTGCGTCAGTGCGTGCAGACCATGGACCGAGCGCTGCGACACCGCGCTGTGGGCGCCAACGACCTCAACGACGCCAGCAGCCGATCGCACTGGTACTCGCCCATCATCGTCGCAGCCTTTTCAACGCGTGTGTAGCATCACGTCGGTGCGGATACGACGGCACCACGCGTCGTTGCCGCAGACGACCGAGTCCAAAGTGCACCTCGTCGACCTTGCAGGCTCGGAGCGTCTCGGGACGTCCAACTCGGTACCGCTAGTGTTTCGTGCTGGCTGCAAATATCTCGTGTAGCATGGCGATCGGCGCACGGAGGCGCAGCACATCAACAAGTCGCTCAGTGCGCTTCGCCATGTGCTCTTGCAGCTTAAGAACAAGGACGCGTACGTCTCGTACCGCAACAGCAAGCTCACGATGCTGCTGCAAGACGCAATTGGTACACTTCCACGTACAAGAGACGGTGGAGATATAGTCCTCGTAGGGGGGCACGCCAAGACGCTGCTGCTTCTCTGCGTCAACCCGCTCGCGACCAACGCGCTCGAAACGAAATGCTCGCTTGTCTTTGGCGAGCGTGCGAACGCCGTCGAGCTTGGCAAGGCCAAGCAGCACGTGATGCGTTCGCCAACGTAACACAGGCTGTCTTGGCTTCATATCTCGCCGAAGGGATGGTTCCGGATCTGGGCACAGTCGACTAGGGTTAGGGCACTCAGCTATGGTTAGGGTCGTTCGCGACACCTCGCAGGATCAATCGCTACTGGTTGAGAGGAACCGTTCGTGGGGCACAAGGAAGACGACCTAGTGCCGCCATGATCCTGCGCCTGCACGAGATAGAGCGAACCCTCCATAGTGTGGTGACGCGCTGGTTCTTCTTCGTCGGACATGCTGCTGCGATGTCACTGGAGATTTGCCAGACGACCAGGCTCCCTCCTCGATAAAGTCTCGAAGTAGCGACCCTGATCGTCGAAAGCCGCGTGGGTGGTGGAGGTGGAAAGAAGTTTTCACTGCCAGAACACTTTATAGTCTCTGCGTTGGCGAGTCAGCGGCGTCTTCTAGATGGATCGTCTGTGTGTTGGGCGACGCATCGCGCTCGAGCTGCTTCATGACAGTGGAGTAGACGACAGTCGAGTTGGGCTGCCACTGCGGCTCCAAGGCCGCCAACATGTGATCAATGTCGAGCTCGTACAAGAGCGGGTCGTACTCGAGTCGGTTCGTCGCCGTCGTTTCAAAGGTCGATCGGAGTTTGTTCAAACGAATCACTTCGTGCTGGAGGCGCTGGTTCTCGCCCGCGAGCCGCGCCGCCTCGAGGATGAGCTGCCGTCCTTGGGTCGCAAACGGTACTTGGGCTTCCAGCAAGGCTTGCGTTTCGATGCGGAAGCGAGAGTTGAGAGCTTTCACGTCCATGAAGTAGCGCATGTGCGCTTGGATCTCGAGCTCTTCGGCCGCGAGGAGCTCGTACGTCGAGAACTCGCGGTAGCAGTCTTCCGTGAGGGTTGCCAGTGTCTCACGCAGGAGATCGCACTGCTCTTCCAAGTCCAACTGGATCATCGCGTCCGTGCGGGCAATGACGGACGCGTAGTCTTCGCCGTCTTCGTTGAGCTCGAGCGCGGGCTCGACAAACTTGGGGTCGCGTTTCTTGGCCGCGAGCCAAACGTCAGCTTGGAACTCGACGGCCGCCATTTGCTTGGCCAAGCTCGCTTCAATCTTGGCGGCGGCCTGCGCGCGCCACACGTGCACGCGAGCGTCCATGCGCTTCTTGTAAAAGGCGCGCTGCCGCAAGGTGCGGTACGTGCGCTGCAGCACGATCGCAGCTTTCGAATCGCGGTCGATCGTCTCGGCCGTAAACTGGTTGGTGCGCGCTCTCGCGATACCGGCCGCGCGGTCTTCTTCGTCTCGCTTGCGCTTCCGGTCCCGCGACGCTTCGGTGATTGCTCGCCAGCGCATAAAGTGCTGCTTGCGCCGCCATGCGCGCTGGAGCGTCTTGGTGGCAGCGAGCACCGACGCGGCGTAGAGGCGGACGCGGGCTCGTGTGAGGTATCCTCGCACCACAGCTTGGATGTGGGAGGCCTTCTGGTACCGGTGTATAAGGACGGAGGGGGCGAGCCACCCGCGCGCCAGCAGAGACGACCGGTAAAAGCGCACAAGCGTCGCGACAGCGCCGCGCTGGACGAGCACAAAGCGACTCCACGCATTGGCGTGTACGTCGGTGGCAATGAGGCCCTCCCAGTACAGCGCCCGGGTCGCGTCGTGCTTGCGCCGGCGAGCGCGGCCGAGGAAGTAGGTCAAGAAGCGCAGCTTGCCCTTCCACATACGCCACGTGGCTTGGATCTTGAGGGCACACGCACCGCGATGCGCAATCATGGCGCGCACACGGGCTTGCTGATTCCGCCGCCTACACCATGTACATAGTGTCATGTCGTCTGTAGACCGGAAATCGAAGCCACTGTACACAATGTGGTGAAAGAACCGTTGGAGGCACCGGGCCGCCACGTCGTCGCGGTACGCTCGCTCGAGGAAGAGGCTCCACTCTTGGTGCGCGCGGAGGCGACCGTGCCACCCCCGCATTAGTTTTTGCAGCGCCAATGCGACGCTCAGCGCCGCCATGCGTTTTCGCTGCCAGCGCTCGGCGAGCGCGTGCTGATACACGCTGTTGGGCGTGAGGAGGCAGAGCACCACCGGCCGGTCGTAGGCAGTTTGGAGAATGCACCGCATTGCGCGTTGCCGCCCAAGGACGCCGCGCCAGTGGCGCTGGATCGTCGTCGTGCTGCCGTTCAGCGTGCGCGCAAACGCGATCCCTGCAAAGTGGGCTCGAAAAGCCTTTTGAATCGTGGAGGCAGCGGTGAGCCGCCGGGCCGCGACCTCGGCGACATGCACGCGCCAGCGCGTCGCCCACCGGCGCCCGAGAAAACCGCGAACTACGCGCGTCATGTGGAGGGACGCGAGTAGGTGACGGTCCATCGTCAGCATGTACGTCGCCATGGCCTCGATCGTGGTCGCGCGCAGCTGCGACGCGGCGGTTCGGCCACAGGCGCCGCGCCACACGCGCTGAAAGAGGCGCGCGCCCACATCTTGTCGCCGCGCTCGCTCAGCATTGGCAGCACGATGTCGCGTCGCTGCGAGACGCCCGAGATGCCCGCGGTACACACGCTGCAGTAGCTGCACCGCATGCTGCTCCTTGGCCACTTGGGCAACGTACCGAGCGTACGCTGCCGCTTCGCGGCGCAGTCGAACGTGACGGCGGATCGCGCACCAGAACACAAAGTACCGCAGGGCGCGCTGCAGGAGGCGCGCCGAGCCGTCGATTTTCGCGGCGAGTGCTTCGGCGTCGGCCACACGTTGTTTGGCGTCGGCGAGGCGCGCTTGCTGCGCTCGAAATCCCCGCTGGATACGCCCCGCCATGCGACTCCGGTAGCGCAAGCGAGCACTCGCCAAGCGGCGGCGCAAGAGGCGCTGCCGTGTGCGCACGAGACACGTCCGCGTCCAGTGCACGATGGCGACGGCGGCTTGCTGCACGAGGCGGGCCCGTGCGAGGTACGCGCCGGTCTCGAACGGCCGAGGAATCAACGCCAGGTGGTGCGGATCCAAGCGCGTACGCGGGTGCGTCATTTCCACCGCTTGGAGCGCTGCGAGGTGCACGTTGCAGCCGTGCACGTTCAAGCTCGTAAGGAGGCGGGCGGCGTCGTCGGGCTCGAACAGCATGACACCTGCGTCGGTCACATACGGGTTGCCGGCCACGTTGAGGACCGCGAGTTCTGCGCACGCCTCGAGAAGCACGCCAAAGATGTGGTTGCCAACATGGTTGCAGTGCTGGGCGTCCAAAACGCGGAGGCGCGGCGTCGCCATGAGCAGTGCGCAGAGCGCGTCGGACGAGAGGTGCCGGCTGCGCGAGACGTTGAGGTGCGTGAGCAGCGACGCGTTTTTCAACAGACTTGCGCACACGTCGTCCGTGACGTGCGACCCGAGGTGCAGCTGGGTGAGGCGCGGGAACCGAATACCGCGTAGGATGGGCGCCAAAGCACAGCTCTCGACGTTGGCCTTGTTGAGGTTGATGTGGGTGAGCGTCGACTCGAGGAAGAGCGCGCGCAGCGTCCGAGCGGTGAGCTGGGGAGCGCCAAAGAGCCGCTGCTCGTCGGTGGTGATGAGCATGCCGACGCCGGTGAACTCGCGCAAATGGCGGCAGTGGCGCGCCAGAGCGATCGCGGCGTCGCTGTCGAGCGCGCGCGGAAGGCCCGAAACCACGAGGCTTCGGAGGTCCGGGCAGTTGGCGCCAAGAACCACAAGGCCCTTGGCACTCACGTGGTAGCAGCCCGTGAGGTCGAGGTGCCGCAGTCGTATGCACCGGGTGGTACCCCGGTCGCTGGTAAAGTCGGCGTCCATTTCGTGCTCGACGGGCGCAAATTGCACCAAGTGTGTGAGGCCCACGTCCGTGACCCGGGCGCAGCCGTGCAGAATCAAGGTTTCGAGGTGGGGGCACGACCGACCCAGCGCGATGAGCACGTCATCGGTCATGGCGTGCAGCGCGGCCGTGACGTCGAGGTGCAGCAGCTTCTTCCCGCAGCCTTTGGCGACGTTGAGGAGACTCGCAAAATGCAACTTTTTCAAGTGCGCGAGCTCGAGCCGCGCGACACTGGACGGGACGAGGCGCTGCTGCGGCAAGCACCCGTAGAGCGTGATACCTTCCATGTGTGGCAGCGCGTTGAGCTTGAGCTCCTCGAGCTTGGGTGCGTAGTTGAGGACGGCAAGGACTGCCGTGTCAGTGAGCCGGACGCAGCCCGAGAGGTCGAGGCGCGTGAGCGGCGAATGGCTGTACGGCCGCTCGTTGAGGTAGAACATGCTCTGGTCCGTTAGTTGCTCGCAGTGCGCGACGAGAAGCGACTGGAGCCGACTAAACGACTGCACGATACAACTAAAGACGACGTCGACGACCCACGGGCTGTGACTCACGTCGAGCTCGACGACTGTTGAGGCGAAGCTGAGGAGCGCAACACCCGAGAGCTGCGGACAGCGAGAGAGGTGAAGCACGCGAAGCGACGGCAGCTGGCCGAGCACGCGCAGGCCGGCATCAGTCAAGTTGCGGCACTCGCTAAGATACAGGTGCTGCAGCCGGAGATTTCGCTTCTCCGGTGGCGGGCACGCCAGGTATGCAAGGTCCGCATCGTGCACGTCCCAGCCCGAGAGGTGCACGGTGCTAGCGAGCTCCACGAGGAACTCGGTCGTGTAAAAGAGCGCAATTGGGATCGTCAGCGCCGACGCATCAAGTCCTCGGGCGGACGCGGGCGGCGTCGCGGGGTCACCGCTGTGGTTGTTGATAGGCGACGAAATGGCCGGCAGCCGCGTCGGCTTGAGCTTGGGCTTGCGTAGCTGCTTGGCCCGCGTGGGTGATGGCGCGAGCAAGGGCTGCTTGGTCGGCGACGTCTCGGGGCCTTCGACCGCCGACAGCACGGGCATCGCCGTGTGCACGAGAGGAATGAGGTACCCTTTGGACGACTGAAGCACGGGCGCATCTGGCAGCTTCGTCAGTCGCCGCTTGCGTCCCGTCGGACGCAGTCGCTGTGCAGTCGTGTACGGCGACGGCTCGCTGTTCATCATTGCGCCGTGGCTCCTCGTGCTGGATCCCGATCCTGTCACTATTCCCGTGTATTGATATTATATATAGTGTGCAAAGTAATAATAGTGTACGTCTGAAATCACCCATACAAACAGACGGGGCTGCAGAAAGGCAATGGCAGCCGATCAAATAGTGTGAAACAGAGATCAGTGATCTTCATGACGCAGGACGTTCGGATCACCGTGCTCTTCGAGGGCCGTGAGTGCGTACCTATGGCTTCGCTAGCGTGGCCTCATGACCTCCTGCAGGTACTTGCTCGAGGCAGACCCGGCCGAGTCGGCCGAGACCGTAGCCTTCCAGCTCCACTCGCTCTGCGACGTCGCCGACAACGACCAGGTCCTCCTGACGTACGACGGGCGGCTCGTGTCGCCCGAAGACGGCGTGGCCGCTATCACCCAGTCGATGCATCTTCTCCTCCTGTTTCGGCGCAGCGCAGCGAGCGGCGGCTTTGAACCAACGCGTGATACCGACTGGCAAGAGACGTGTTCGCAGGTCGTGGCTCCATCGACGCCGCTCGTGCAGCCCGCGTACACGCGACAGGATGGCGCCATGCTCTGCAGCGTATGCGCGACCACGTGCTCGCCTCCCGGTACGAACAAACACCGCGGTATCTTCTGCATCTTACCGTCTTCTGCAGCCCACCTCGTGACGCCCATTCTCAATGACGTGGCAACACGCAACGTCGTCCGCGGGTCCTTTGTCACGGAGCTGGCGGTGGTCATCGGGGCCATCGATGTCTTGCCGCCGACGGGCTTTACAAAGCTGCCGATGGACCTCAACCACGGGACGCCCGGCCCCTTTGCCTTTCTCTGCGTTCGCAAAGGTACGTGGTTCGATGATCCTCAGGCTGCACCCACACGCACCGTTGTAGGCGGGAAACAAGCGCCCATCGCACACGTCCAGGTCGCGTCAGGTTCGACGGTGCCGCCCGGGTACACGTTGCTGCATGTGACGGCGACGACGTCGATCTGCTACCGCCGGGCGCCGCCATCGCTCTTCCGGTCGCTCGTCGGCTTTGGCATCCGCGACGTCTCTGTCGGCAAGGACCACGCGTCGTCCATGGTCGCTTGCCGCACGGCGCTCACCTCATCGGGTGATTGGACGCTCGCGTACGATCTCGCGCCGTTCGCTGGGACGATCTGCGGGTCGGTGGTCCTCGACCACTCTGAGTACTAAAGCACATCCCTAGATCCCACGGCGACTGTTTGTTTGCCGAGCGTATCGTCAACAGCACCCCAGGCTCGTTCACAGCCCTCTCGGGCGCCCAAGTTGAAGCGAGTGCTGCGCTGGAGGCCACGCTTCGAACCCAGTGGGCCGCCGCCCAAGCGACAGCATTTATGGCGTCCGAGGCGTCGCTCCGCAGTACGCTCGAGCACCAGAGCCAGCGCGTGCGCATTTACGAGCGCAAGGACAAGCAGGCCCGCGCGCTGGCGGTCGTTCCAGTCGCGACGCTCGAGGCCCGGGCGCGCGCCAACACTAATAGTGTGCACAAGCGCTTTGAAGACGAAGTGCTGCACCAGCTCATCCACTGGTTCAAGCACGAGTTCTTTTCCTGGATGAACCAGCCGCCGTGCCAGGTGTGCGGCCAGGCGCCGACACAGCTCGTGCGCACGGACGGCCCGACGACTCCGGAGGAGGTACCCCTTGTCCTAGCAAGTGTAGCTGTAGCGAGAGCTTGCGTAGGTCGCGGGCGAAGCGAGTCGTGTTGAAGTGTACCAGTGCGCTAGCTGCCGCAGCTTGACGCGCTTTCCGCGGTAGCTGCCGACACGAAAGAGAGGACCAAGAAAACATTATAAAAATGACTAGGTACAACGATCCGGTCAAGCTCTTGGAGACTCGCACGGGTCGCTGCGGCGAGTGGGCCAACTGCTTTACGCTCTGCTGCCGCGCGATGGGCTACGAAGCGCGCTACGTCCTTGACTTTACCGACCACGTCTGGACCGAAGTGTACAGCCCGGAATACGGGGTACGTCCGTCGGCGCGTGCGACGGGAAATGGACCCAAGGGTGTAGCGCTGGTTGCACTGCGACCCGTGCGAAGACCAACTCGACTGCCCGTTGACGTATGAAGTCGGCTGGGGAAAAGAGCTCCACTACATCTTTGCCTTCTCCATTGACCAAGTTGTCGACGTCATTCGGTAACGTTGCATCTCTTATATGCTGTTCACGTCCTCGAGCAGGCGCTACACGACGACGTACGAAGGCGGCGTTTTGGACCGGCGTACGCAAGCCCGCGAAGACTGGCTCGCGGCAACGATCGTAGCTCTAAACCAGCGAGTGCAAGCGGCGCTGCCAAGTGCCCGGCGCGAGGTTCGATCCCCGACCAATGCCTGCCGGTCAATGTGGATACGGTAGACGCTGCGGCTCCGTGCATTGCACGAAGAGGCCGAGCTTGGTGCCGTCAAGCACGCCAAGGCGAGTGAGACCGAAGGGCGTGTGTCAGGCTCGACAGAGTGGAAGGAGTCGCGTCAGGAGAGCGGCAACAAGGCCGACGATATAGCGTCAACGACGACAACAGCCGAGATAATGTCGACGGTCGACGAGGTGCCACCGTCGCTTTGGCAGTCGTACGCTGCGGTGGTTGGAGACAAAAGTTCAGGGAAGTATTGTAGGCTGCTCGTGCAACTCGTCCACGGGTGCGCCAACGCCTTTTGTGTCAACCCCTTTTGCCTGCATGTGGCCAAGGAGGCGCCAGGTACTACCGTGATGGCGACGGCAACACCGTATCCAAGCGTCATAGGATTTGATCTGTCGAGTTATGTGGCCTCGTCGCTGCAGCGCATTCCATCACTGCAAGCTGTCGTCACGTCCCGCCGCGCGTTTGACCAGCTCATCTGCCCGCCGACAGGTGCAATAGGTTCAACCCTCGTCGACCCTAACCGCAGTGTTAGACAAAAATCTTCGAAGCCAGCTGTGGGCGGCGTCGCCGATCGGGTACTGGCCGCTGCAGGACAGCAAGCACGTAGCCGTCGATATCTCGGGGCATGCTGCGCATCTCACGCACACTTGCGCTGCGGTCAACAAGCCCATCGCGACCAAAGTTAACAAGGCGACGACCGGCTACCAGCTGCTGCCGCGCGATACGTTGCGACTGACGGCAGACGTCGCGGCGCCGACGTGGAGTGTCGTCTTTCTTGTGCAGTGGCACGCGTACGCCGATACGCTGGTCGAGTTTTTGCATCTGCCCGAGCTCGACCTGCGCCTTGGTCTCACGGCCGACAAACGGTATTCCCATCTGCCGTCCCTTCCTTTATAAAGTAGTGTGCGCAGGCTCGCGCTGACGCTGGGGGCGACGACGACGCACAGCGCGTCACCGTTGGCCATGGACACGACGTACCACATGGCGCTTGTTGTCGACTCGTCGCGCGTCCGTGTCTTTGTGAATGCGGCCGAGGTCGTCTCGCTGACCGCGGGGCCACCTACCGCGTCGATCTCGCTACTGTTTGAGACGCAGGCGTTGGCGCATGTGCCCATTGTGAGTCATCTCGCGCTGCTGCCGACTGCGCTGGAGCCGTCGACGCTCGAGGTCTTGGCGCGCTTGTCGCTGCCCGGCGCCAAGTTGACCATGGCCGGTGTCAAAGGCGACACGGCTGACATCCAACAGCACGTGTGCACGCTTGATGCGGCGCAGATGGACTCGGGCTACGTGCTCTCGTCGCTCCACTGTACGGTGTTGATCGAGAGGTTCATGGAGATTGACTTTCGATTCTAGTGTGGTCGGGCACCTTCTTTGATGGCCTCCAGTGCGCGTACACGTCGGCCACTGGCGAGACAGTCGACGGACCCCAACACGTTGTCGCCGCTTCCAAGGACCAATCGCGATCCCATTCGCTGGCGCTTCTCCCAGGCGAAGTCATCGTGCACGTGTCGGGTCGCCGCGGCGCGTGGACGGACGCGCTGAGCGTCACCACCAACTTTGGTCGCACGCTCATTGGCGGCGGCCATGGTGGCAGTCCGTTCGAGATGGACATTGCCCCGGGGCACGCAGTGCGCGCGTTTGGCTTTCATATTGACGACCACGTGTACAGTTCCGTGGTTTTCACAGCGCCGTCGCCCCGCGGTGCGCACGCTGCTCGTACAGCCGCGTGAGTCTAACGCGGCGCGTAGGTCCAGTGTTTCAAGCCCTAGATGCGATCCGCGCCTCAGTGCCCTCGTCGATCCTGCGTACGGTGATCGCGGCAGGTACGCTATCGCTATTGCGCTGCTTCTTTGGCTCAAAAAGGTCTAGTGCGCCGGTACCTCGGGAACCTCGTTGCGACGCCAACCGAGCCAAAATTCCGCAAAATCAAGACCACAAACGCGTATTTTGCCAAAAATGTGGGGATCCTTGACGACGCGACGGTGCTCACGCTCTTTACGGGTGCTGATTTCGAGGCCGTGACCGAGGGCGACGACAAGTTTTGGGTCTTCCGCGGAAACCTCCACGCTGTCCACGCTGCCACGTACGACCTGACGACGTTCGCGGCGCTGCTCGCCGACAACTAGTTGGCTCTTTAGCTCGCTGTCATAGTGTTTTTGACTACAGCCAATATCAACTAACATTCTAAGCTTAGTTAGTCGTACATATCTGGTATTCGTGATTATCACATGTCTTGCTGGGCCTTGGCTTGGGCAAAGAGTGCGTTTTGCGCCGCGAGAAGCTCGTCGCGGGACTCACCCTTGAAGAGATCCTTCCCGCGCTTCTCCGTTTTCTTCTTCTTCTTCAGCTCGGGCTTGGGCTAGCACAAACGCATGAAGGTACGAAGGTTGATGCGTGTTGGTCGTACAAGGGCGAGGGCCTTGGCCTTGAGGTCGGGGTAGGCGTCCATTGCTGCCAGTACGTGGTTGGGCTGGATGTAATACGCTTCTTTGGTCGCCTCTTTTTGCGCGAGCGCATTGGACGCCACGAGCAACGACCGCATGAGCTCTACGAGTCGCAAGGCGCTACAGGCGAGCTATGGTATGGCGCGGTACCGGACGCCAACTGGGCCGTCATGTCGACGACCGCGGTCGGGAGCGGCTCCTCGTCGCCGACGCGCGTGCGCAGAAGTGCTTCGGTCACAGCTAGCACAGCGTGAGCTCCATTGTAAGCATGTAGCGCCTACTCATGGGCACCTTGGACATCGCGGCCAAGCTGGTGGTGTGGAATTTCGCGGCTGCAATGCCATTGGTTTATAATTGGCCAATGGCATCGCGCGACGCCGATCTTTGTCCATGAGTCCTCCCTATTCATCGGCGACGACCATTTCCTGGCTTGACGAAGGTAACTCTGTTGTGATCTCATGTCTGCATCATACGACGTCTGGTGGAGTCGCTTGGATGGGCTCTGAAAGATGACGAAATAGAGATTTGGTCCGTCGTGTGCCCGTTGGACGACAAACCGAGTACCACGAACTCCATTGCTGGCGTCTCACGCCTGTCGGAATACACATACTTGCTATCTTCCACGCCTCTCAGCTATTTGATGAAACCACTAGGACGTGGTAAGCTTGCCATCTTTGCAGCCACTGCGTCGACTCTAGGTGGAGCTAAGGAGGCCAGCGGTCGCCTTCTGTCCCCACACAGCATCCGGTCGTGCACAGATGCGTGACGCTTGACGCGTCTACCACCATTACCACAAGCTAGCCCATAGAGAGGTACGTTGGAGTCGACAACAATCATTCTTGCGCGGCTGCCTGGCGACGTGTTGTCAATGACCTTTCCCATGCTGTCGGACGCGATACACTGGTCGCGCTGCTTGGTAGAGCCAACACGATGCGCATACCGGTACTCACAGCCACAGGGTATGACACATGACAAGCGACGAGGACTAGGTTGTCGAGATAACAGTAGACGACTTGTGCTGGCCAGGCGGATCTGGCGCCGATTTGAAAATTTAAATTGCTCGGATTGGCCCGTGGGTGTGGTATACATTTGCTTAGATAATAAAATAAATTGCCGTTGTAGGCTGCATTATAATGGTGGTCACGGTGAATAAAATACATGGCTCGCAGCGCTCAATACAAGTCATGTCGGTATTGGCAGGTAATCAGTAGTTTTTAGGTGGTTGTTATCTGTTGTATGTCGTTCAACCCAGGCAGTATTAAAGAACCGCACCGGGTGTAAATACAAGCGCTGGAAATAAAACGCAAATCGAAACAGCACGCGAGAAGCGATTGCCGCGGCCGCGCTCGGACCTCTTCCTTGGACCTCCCATCCTCCGCGTCCGCTTCCTCGACGACCATGAGCCAGCCATGCCTACGGAACATGAGCTGCAAATGCCCCCTCTGCGCAGGAGAAGACCTGTCCGAGCTCCTCGCGCTGACCAAGACCATCTCGAGCAACATCCAGTACGGCGACGGGGACGAGGGCGACGAGCCACCGCCGCCTGCCCGAGGTGGCTTCATGGCCAACTCGCCTCCGCCAGCGCCCCGAAAGACATTCGTCGCCAACTCTCCGCCTGTCCAGGCTGCGAAGCGCGCGGCCGCGGCGCCGAAAGTCCCGCCACTCGAGTTGAAGGCCGCCGAGACAGCGCCGCCGCCACGAGCATCTCCCACACCGAGCGACGAGCCGAGCCCGAGCCAGGCGCCGCGACAGACGAGCGACGAGCCTCCGTTGGCGTTCGAAGCGCTTGAAGCCAAGGTGGCCGACAAGAACTGGAAAGTCCGAAAAGAGGCCTACGACGACATGAAGCTCGCGTTCGAGACGGGGCGAGGCGTCGACGGCGGCAACCCGATCGAGTTCTTTGGCAAGATGGTCGACGACTCGAACGCCGCTGCGATGGAAGCCGGTCTTGCTGCCGTGCTTGCGTACACAAAAGAGGCGACGCCGCAGCAGTGGAGCAACAGTGTCATTGCGCGGACCATGACCAAGGTCGTTGACAAGTGCTTTACGGGCCGACCCGGCACGGTCAAGCTCGCGGAGGAGCTCGTGCTCGAGTACATCCACCAAGGCGGCGGCGAAGATACGATTGCAGCGCTTATCGAAGGCACGAAGAACAAGAAGCCCAAGGCACCTCCGCTGTGCGTGAGCTTGATGCTCGAGGCGCTCAAGACGTTTGGCCCGCGCGTCGTGCCGGTCCCTCCGCTCAAGGCGGCGCTTCCCGCGCTCTGCGAGTCGACCGTCAACAACGTGCGTCCGACGGCGCTCAAGGTCATTTGCGAACTGTACCGTTGGACAGGCCCGCCATTGGTCCAAGACATTGTCAATGGTCTCCGTCCAGCGCAAAAAACAGAGTACGAAGAGCTCATCAAGGACATCACACCCGGCCAGGCCACGGTCACGCGGTACGTCAAGGGCAAGGAGCCCCGCGCGGCCCCCGCGCCGCGTGGAGCTCCTGGCCGTGCGGCGGCCGCCGCCCCCGTGGCTGCCACCATGGACCCGCGCGACTTTGCCGAGACGATCGACCTGCTCGCTAAGCTACCGAAAACCGAGTTCAAGGCCAAGCTCGCGTTGCCCAAGTGGAGCGAGAAGGTCGCGGCGCTGCAGATCATTCTCGACACGGTTGGGTCGGTGCCCAAGCTCGCTTATGGCGACTTTGGCGACCTCGTGCACACCCTCAAGCTCTGCATGCAAGACGCCAACGTCAACATCACGGCCAAGTCGATTGAGGTCCTTGGCGTGCTCGCCGACGGTGTCCGCAAGCCCTTCTCGCAGTACGCGCGTCTCATGCTGCCGCTGCTCCTCAAGAAGCTCTCGGACAAGAAGTCGCTGATCCTCAACGCGACGCACCAGACGCTCGACATGTTTCTGCAGCATGCCTTGCCGCTCGACGCGATGATGGACGAGATCAAGCTCTCGGTCGACGGCGCGACCAACAAGATTCCCGCGGCGCGCGGCCAAACCATTGCTTTTTTGCAGCGCGCGATCGCGAAGAAGTGGGTCAACGTGATGGACGCCGCGCTCATCAAGACGCTCGGCGAGCTCTTTGCGAGCGGCATTGACGACTCGGACCCGGGCCTGCGCAAGGCCGGCGTCGAGGCCATGGTCACACTCGTCGAGTCGTCGGACAGCGCGAGCCGCATGGTCAAGGCGACGCTGGACGGGCTCGAGAAGCGCCAGCCGCGCAGCTACAGGACGATCGAGGCTGCCATGGGCAGTGCCGGTAGCAGTGCGTCGTCGGGTATAGCGTGTCTACCTCTTGCCACATGTCGCTGACTTGTGTGTGTTTAGATACCTCGTCGTCGGCGCCGACGATGCCCGCGTCCGTGCCAAAGACGGCTGTGCCCAAGCCTCTGGAGGCCAAGAGCACGCCCAAGCCGGCCGCCGGTCCTCCGAGTCGGCTGGCGGCAGGCAAGAAGCCGGCACCGGCGGGCAAGGGTCCTGCGGCCAAAGCCCCTATCGCGTCGTCGTCGTCAGAGACCATGACCCTCTCGAGCGCCGATGCGGAGCAGATGCTGGCGGAGCTCGACCTCGAGCAGTGGTCGTCGATTGTGTCGGGCTTTGGCAGCGCCAAGTGGTCGGAGCGCAAGGCGTCGTTCGAGCTGCTCGAAGAGGTCGTCAAGGGCAACCCGGACTTGGCGAGCACGCACACGGAGGCGCTCGTCATGTACGCCTACGGCCAAACCAAAGAGTTTAGAGAGTCGAACGTCCAAGTGCTCAAGAGCGCGTTCCAAGCGCTCGCGACGATCTCGGACGCGTGCGCCGACGTGCTTCCAAAGAGCGTTGTGTCGTTCTTGGTGCCGTGCTCGATCGAGAAGATTGGCGACCGCAAGATTAGCGACGTGGTCAAGCTCTTGCTGGGGTACTTTTGCGAGCACGTCGGTCCTGCGTACGTCCTTGGATGCGTGTACGCCCACATGCCCAACGTCAAGGCCGTGCTCGCGCTCATTGACTGCCTTACGTTCTTCAGCGAGTGCATCGCCGACTTTGGCGTTGCGCTCTGCGACCCGCGCGCGCTCATCGACTTTGTCAAAGGCGCACAAGGCCTCGAGAGCTCGAATCCCAAGTGCCGCATCGCAGCCATGAGCGTCTTTGGCACCATGTACTCGCAGCTTGGCCCGGCGCTGCGACCGCTTTTGGGCATTGACAGCTGGAAGCCGGCGCTCGCGTCGTCGGCCGAGGCCGAGTTCAAGAAGGTCGGGTACAGCCCCGCAACGGCGACCGCTAGCATTTCGCGCAAGCTGCGCCACGTCGAAGACAACGGCGGCTCGGTCTCGCTCGCCGCTGCGCTCGGCCGCGTCGACATCAGCACCAAGATCTCCAAGGAAATGCTGGCCGACATGCAGAGCGAGGAAGACAAGGCGGCGTGGAAGAAGCGACTCGCTGCCATGGAGGCGGCCCAGCGCCTCTGCGAAGAGGCCGGCATGATGATTGAGCTGACCAAGCCCGTGATCGAGGTCATGAAGGCGCTGAAAGGTCGTCTCGCCGACTCGAACGCGAATCTAAAAGTCAAGGCCGTTCAAGTCATTGGTGTCTACGCCGAGAGCATTGGGCCCAGCATTGCCAAATTGAGCAAGGGCATGGGCGCCAACATTGTCTCGGGCGTCTCGGACAACAAGAAGAACATGCAAACCGCGTGCGTCGAGACGCTCAACAAGTGGGTGCTGCACGAAGGCGCGACGTCGGCGCCGTGCCTCGAGTCGCTCCTCCCGTTCGTCGCCGAAGGACTCAAGAACACGGTCGGTCGCGCTGAGCTCCTCGGGTGGACCGTGCCCCACACGGAGAGCGTCGGCACTATGGACTTGCGCTGCCTCATTGAACCGACGATCGACTGCCTCCAAGACAAGGCGTCGGACGCACGCGAGAAGGCCCAACTGCTCCTGATCCAAGTCTTCCGGTCTGTCGGGAAAGAAGCCGTGTACGCAGGTTGCCGTGATGTACTGCCGGCCAAGATGCGCACGCTCAAGCCAATCATTGACAAGGCGTGCCAAGCCGCGACGGTCGACACAGCTCCGATTGCCGAGGTCGAATCGAAGCCACCGCCGCCGCCCAAGGTCGCTGCCCCCGCTCCCCCTGCAGCGCCCACCCGGCAAAACTCGCTGACGGCACCGGCGCCCGTCGCCAAGGCGCCCAAGAAGGAAGAGGCCGCTTTGCTTTTGAGCAGCGACAAGATGACGCGCCTCGATCGCAACCGCAAGAACAAGTGGATCTTTGATGCGACCGACGCGGGCGATTTGAATGCACGCAAGGCACAGGTCGAGGCCGAGTGGGGTCCGTACATGTCGGCTGACTTGCGCGCCAAGCTCTTCTCGGCGTCCCCGGACAAGGTACTCGGTGCTTCTCTCTCCGTATCGTGTTGACTGCAGGACTCTGCGTAGATTATGGAGGGGATTGACGATCTCTCGAAATGTGTGACGGACCAACCACGCGATGTGCACACGTCACTGGACTTAATCATGAAGTGGTCGACGCTGCGCATTGTCGACAACAACGTCCAAGTCCTCGGTACGTCGTCGGGATTTGCGCCTTTGGCTCATCGAAAGGCGGGTGCGTAGCCAAGATGCTCGACTTTCTCGTCAAGCTTTTGACGATGGTGGCCGACAGCAATTGGGAGCTCGATGACGTTGAAGCCGGCATTTTCCTCCCGTACCTCTGCCAAGAGTCGGGGCAGCAAAAGCCTCGCTTCCGCCTGCGCTGTCGCGACGCGTTGTATTTGGTCGTGGACGTGTACCCGTCGGCAAAGTATGTTCCGTTCCTCCTCGACTGCGTCGCCAACTCGAAGAACACCAAGAGCCGCATTGTGTGCCTCGAGACGCTCGAGTACATTGTGCAAGAGCACGGGTACGCCGCCGTGGGCAAAAAGTGCCTCCGCGAGATGGCCAAGTGCGTCGACTGCAACGAAAAGGACGTGCGCGAAGCCGCCATCCAAGCGCTCGTTGTCGTCTACACGCAAGTGACCGACCCGAACATCGACCGCTTCTTTGTCCTCTGCAACGTAACAAGCCAAAAAGCCATGGACCTCATCAACCTCAAGATCAAGTACCATCCGACGGATCGCCCGACAGCCAAGGCGGCGCCCGTCCAAGACGAGCCCGCCGAGGAGCCCACAGCGTCATTTGAAGCGGTCAAGACACCGTTGCCGTCGCCAAAGCGCCCCGCCATGGTTCGGACGCCGTCCAAGTTGGCGCCACCGACGTCGATTGCGACACCAACGACGATTGCACTGCCGTCGCCGGCCCGGACGTTGCCGACGCCGACCAAGCGCAAGGAGCCGTCGCCGATCGATGTGCGCGTGATGCTGTTTCCGTCGCTGCAAAAGCTCGTCGCGAGTGCCAAAGAGCTCACGACGGACCCGGTGCTCTTTGAGCAAGGCAAGGACGCGCTCAAGACGCTGTACGTGATGGCGTCCAAGAGCACTTCGGCCGAACAAAACTTCCTCCAGGACAACATCAACGACGTGCTCGTGCAGATCTGCGCCATCATGCACGCGAGCTTTGGCAAGCTCCAGAGCTCGCAGATCGAGCTCTACGTGCTCTCGCTGTGCCTCTCGACGATCGCCAACTTGCTCAAGCACGACAACTTTGCGGCGCGCGTCCAACGGTTTGCGATCGAGCGGCTCGTGCTCGAGTCGTGCTTTGGCTTGCTGGATCCGCGCATTGAAGACACGGAGGCGTCGTTTGCCAAGCGCGTCATGACGGCGCTCAACAAGCTTGCGATGACGGTCGCGTACCAGCTGCGTGTGAGCGAAGTCCTTCCTGCGATGCTCAACCTCCTCGAGCGCATCGTGCACGACCACGCGCCCGAGTACACACTCCGTGACGCGGTCAACCGCGGGTTGAAAAAGCCGACGCTGGAGCGGCTCGTCAGTAAACTGCTCATCAAGACGGCGCGGCGCGAGCTCGGCATGCCCGAGCCTTTCCTCAACGTCGACGTCTCGGGGCTGCTCCACTCGATGCACAGCTTCTTTGCGACGTTTCCAGAAGACAAGACGTACATTCACGACGCGGCGCGCAACGCGATCAAGGCCAACCTCAAGTTTCTCGCCGACCACTGCGCCACGAGCGGCCGCCGCGCCGTCTTTGAAGCCGCGCTGCGCGACGTGCCGCTCTCGTCGCCGATCCACGCGATGCTGACGGACATGCAGTACGACTTTGGCCAGCCAGCCAGAGTGCGCAACGTGTCCGAGTCGGTCGACACGCTGGGCGACGCCACGGCCGATGCCCACGCCAAGAAGCAAGCGCTTCTGGGCCTTGTGGACGCCAAGCAAGCCCACGCTGGCGGCAACCTTGCGTCGGCCCTGGCGGAGAAGGGCCTTGTCGCCAACGAAGAGGCGCGACGCCTCGCCGAGGAGCTCGAGCCGTCCGAGTATGCACGCGGTACGCCCAAAGTACCCGCGATTCTCTCGACACCGTCGCGGCTCACGGCCTTCTCGGCACAAAACTTGACGCGGTCGGCGTTCAAAGCGCCGGAAGCACCAGTTGTGACCGAGGCGCCGCCGGTGGCCAACCCTGCGCCGCCCAAGTCGCTCGCGCTGCTGGACCTCAAGCAGCGCCTCGCGCGTATCCAAATGCAATAGTATATCATGCGTTTATCTCCAAGAGGGTGGTGATTAGAGCCGCGTGAGCTGGTCGAGAAACGCGTCGGGCGAGAGGAGCTCGGTGCAGCCGTACACGATCTGCCGGCCAGTGGCCGTCGCGTACGCCTGCGTGTTGTGGAACTCGTGGTAGTTGCCGCCGCCAATGACAAAGAGGATCGCGTCCTTGAAGGGCGTGCGCTGGCGCGGGACGTTGGCGGTCGCCTTGATCTTTGGGTCCAAGTACACGTAGTGGTCGTCCTCCGTGCCCTGGCGCAGCTCGCAGATGGCATCGGCAACGCGCGTCACCTGCAGCTTTTTGTTTTCCGGCAAAAAGTTCTTGAAGCTCTCGGCCGCCTGGGACAAGAAGCCTTGGGTGAAGCTGCCCGCCCAGTTGGCGTTGAGGTAGCCCTTGAGCTTGGTCGACGCCCCGGTGGCGTCACTGTTGCCAATCGCGCCGCCGACGCTCGCGTGCTGTTGAAACGACGTGTGCTGCTTGACGTGCAACCACGCACTCTCAAAGGCGGCTGCGTCGGGCTGGGCACGAAACGCAGCTTCAAGGTCGGCCATCTCGGCCGTCGACGCGCCGCTCGTCAAGTAGTAGATCATGAGCAGCCGCAGCTTGTCCTTGGTGTTGCCCTAGATTCGTAAGATGTCGTCACGTCCATACCTCGGTGACAGCGCACCTTGTCGGCGCTCGCGACAAGGTCGAGGACATCTTGCTGGGGTACGTGCGAGCCGTCGATGAGCTTTTGCTCGAGCATCGAAAACTCGTGCACGTGGCGGGCCGAGACGCTCTCAAACGTGGCGTGGAAGATGTTGGTGTGCACTTCGAGCGACTTTTTCTTCTCGAGGAGCGCGGGAAGCGTGTCGACGGCCGCGACGAGGTCCTTTGTTCCGCCCACCGCGTGCCCACTCGCCTACGCGCCCGCCTGTGGTGCGTTCAGTCAGAGAGCTCATCAAGTACCTTGGCACTGATGTCCTTTTCTTTTTTCGTCACGATCTTGAGCTCTTCTTCGTTGGCGGCGATCGCGTCCGGGAAGAGCACGCCGGCGTACTGCTCGAAAAATTTGTCGCTTCGGACGTCGAGGTCGTACGACTTGTCGGCTGGCGCGCCTTGGTCGCTCGCGACGCGGACGTTGACGCGGTTGAGTTTGATTTTGAGCATGTCGTCGACAAGCGCCTACATAAAGGTCTCGTCTTCGTATACGATAACGGTGGCGTACCTGGTACGTCGACGGGTGGTGCAAGCCCGACGCGAGGTCTTCGTTGCGGTCGACGATGATGAGCACGGGGCGCTAAACACGATGAGCTCTGTGGTGTCGCTGGTCGTCGACGCACCTGGAAGTTGGCACTCGTGTCTTGGAAGACGCCCGACCGCGCCGCCTGCCCATATAGCCAACTGAGTAGTGATAGATGCATGTAAATATCAATGTACCAAGTGGTCCCGGAGCATTTGGTTGAGCTGCTCGGCCACCATGCGCGAGGGGCCGTCGGTCGCCGGCGCGCGGATCACAGGCACGACGCCGAGCGTCGCGAGGACGCTAAAGAGGCCTTGGGTGATGTCGTGCATGGTCTGCTCAATGTGGCTGTCGGTGATCGCCGTCGAGTTGTACGCGCGGTAGCTCGAGGCGTGGTTGAGCGAGAAGAGCGTGGGCTCCAAGCACACAAAGTTGGCGTGCTGGTCAAACACCTTGGCGACCATCGACGTGCACCCGGCGTCGACGCAGCCTTTTGCAAACGTCTCGAGGCGAGCGCGCGGAATCGGCTCGGCAAAGTTGAGATGGATCGTCGCGTAGAGCTCGCGGGCGCAGTCGGCCACGATGCGCTGGAGGTTCGCGTCTGTCGGCTGCACAAAGTAGATGGCCGGCACGTCCGGAATGTCTTCGCGATCGTTCTCGAGGAGCATGTGCAACGTGACGCCTATCCGCCGATGCGCATGAGACCACGATGGCCGGATCGTCGTACCCTTCTTGCGCAGCTCGTGGAGCTTCAAGATGGGCGAGATAATATCGCGGCAAAATGGATCGTACACCAGCACCTTCCACTGCTCGCCCCACCTAGAGCGACGCATGCATTAGCGGCGGCTGCGCGCCCGCGTGGACCTACGAGCTCGTGGCGTCGGTCGTCCCCGCCGACTCGACGTTAAAGTCGAGCATGCGAAGCAAGTTCTCTAGGATCATCGTCGCCGCATGAGCTAGGCAGCATGCCACAGCATGACCGACCTTTCTGCTTGTCTTGGAGGTTGAGCACCATCCTCGCCCCGTTGCCGCGTGTGCAGTCGCCTTGATGAAATGAGGTGGCGGTCTCGTGATCCGGATATCGTCCGGTTACACTCACCGGACGTTTAAACGCGTTTAATTTCACACTCTTGCTTGCCGTTATACACCGCCACTCCAAAGCAGCTACCTATCGTCATGGCTACAGTCCCATGATGCATGCGCTCGCGGCTGCTCTTGTTGTCGTAGCCGTGCGTCCAGGGCCCTTCGCCATCTACCATCCGCGACGTCGGTTTAACGTAGAACCGCAGTTGCACGAAAGAGGGTAAACTCAGGTTTAACCACCACCGCCATACCAGTATCCAACGTTCACGATGACGTGGTGGGTCGTGGCAGGCGCTGTCCTCGTCGCACTTGTGCTCGCTGCGGGTCTCTTTTTCAAGCGCGGGTCAGCCACGCCCGCCTACATGAGCGCTTCCTACTGGTATCGATATAGCGCAGCCGTAGGTTCTACCTCCTGCTTGTTAGGGACGCACGCTACCGGCGCCACCCCGAGGCCTTCGAGGTAGTCGTTGACGCTGCACGTTGAACGGCTGACGACGACGTGTAGTGGTACCTCTCGTTCCAAGACCTTGTGGACCATGGCCTCTTGACGCTGACTTCGTCGCACCTCTCGCTGCTCGCCCAGCCACCGATCGAGGTGCGCAACCTGCGCGTCCTGGACTTGGGCGGCGGCAACTCGACGTTGGCGCACCGCCTGTGCGAGGCGCTCCATGGCAACGGCCGAGTCGTGAGCATCGACATTAGCGACACGTGCATTCGCTTGATGCAGACCACGTACCCGTCCAAAGTGCAATGTGAGAACACCTGCCTCGTTCACGCTCTGGACACGCGGTGTAGACCTCTGCATGGACGCGCGGGACATGGAGTTCAAAGACAACTCGTTCGACGTCGTACTTGACAAGAGCACGATGGACGCGATCGTGTCGCCCGGCAACGCAACAGCCGCGCATGCGGCGAAGCGCATTCTGCGCCAAGTGGCTCGGGTGCGCGCTCCATCATCCAAGAGGGATCTCGCCACTCCTATCGTTGTAGGTCTTGCGGCCCGACGGCTTCTTTCTTATGATCTCGGTACATCCGTGGAGCTACTGGCACCCGCTCGTGGCCAGCGCCGCGCCGTCTCTCGCCCATGCCCAAGGTACTCTAGTATCGATGGGCCTTTCGATTGGCAAGCATGGCGTAGAGAAGACGCAAAGCGTTGTACTCTCCTCCGACCGCCACCCGATCCTCGTCTTTGTCAACGTGTTGCAGAAAGCATCAGCGTAGTCTTAGCGCTCTTATTTCGATTCCTTGGCATCAAACGAGCTCCACGCGACGGCCTTGCCGTTCTTGATGCGCAGCGGCTCGAGCGTATCCAGGTAGTGCGAGCCGTACGCGAAGAAGACGCAGAGGCCGAGCGCGGCCACACTACATGCACCCCGTCCTGAGCGCTGTGGGCACGAGGACGAGCCAGCCTACCTCTGCTTGGTCGAGATGTTGCGGAAGGGAAGGAACATGCTCAAATGCACTTGTCCGGATACGTTGTCTCCAACATTCGGATAACAAAAAGATGACGTCAACAAATCGAATCCCACGCGATAGATTAGGTCGCGGACTGGTCGTAGATCTTAGTCGCCGCGATGAGTGAATTGCGCGAGTACGCCGCGGTGGTCGGACGCGTAGATCGGGCTATTGGGCTCGAGCATGCCGACCGTCTTGGGGTTCGACGACGTGTCGGGCGTCGGCGCTTGACCGATGACGTCGCACGCGTCGACCTCGCCTTTGCCGCGGAAGAGCACAAAGTCGATGCGCTTGATGGGCGCGTCGCACGGAAACGTCATGTCGTCGTGCCGCGTGGGCTCGGCGCCGTGGACCTCGAGCCATGCGTCGCGGAGGTCGGTCGTCTCTCCGCTCAGCGACGCCTTGCCTTGGAGGAATTGGATGCCGCGCGACGAGGGCTCGGCGTTGAGGTCGCCGAGTAGCACCTGGGTGACGCCTTGGCCCGCTTGCATGTAGTCCCAGATCTCGAGCATCGTTTGCTCTCTCGAGCGCTCGCTGAGCGAGAGGTGCGTGACATAGACATCGACGAGTCCCCACGAGGGCATGTCCACCACCGCGTGCAGACACAAGCGCTGATGCACGTCGTTCGGGTCGTTGACCTGGCGCGAGAGGAGCTTGTAGTCGGTGGAGACAATCGGGTACTTGGACACGATTGCGGGGCCTTCTTCAATGTGCTCAAGCGGGTCCCGGTCGTTCAAGTAGCTCATGGCCGCGCGGTAGACGTACTGCGGGTACGTGGTATGGTCGAGGCGCGCCATGAGGTGCTACACATGCGTTGGCGTGGCGCGAAGGAAGGGCTCTCGGTACCTGGATCTGGGCGTGCTGCCCTGGTGGGCCAAACGTAGCGTCGACGCGCACCTCTTGAAACCCAATGATATCAGCGTCGGCCTCATCGAGAAATGTGCCGAGGTGGTCGAGACGCTTGTTGTACATGCCCCACCGACGGTGGGCGCCGTAGATCTGCGCTGGCGGGTTGACGTTCCAGACGTTGTACGAGAGAATGCGTGGGCCTTTCGTTGAGGTTGTTGCCATCGGATTCGGGACCGAGCTCGTGTGCTGGAGCAACGTGAACGAGTGCTCGCGCGTATTGAGGTGGACGACCACTTGGTGCAAAGCGCGATCGCGCGTGTCCTGAAACTCAATGTAAAAATTGACGCCGAGGTTGACAGAGTGCCGAAAGTACACGCTGGTGGTCTGCGGCGTCACGTAGCTCACGACCTCGTGGTGGTTGATCCCGTCGCGCGTCGCGTCGAGCTGCAAGGCCGAAGCAGAGACCAAGCGGAGGTCGTCGAGCGGCAACGCGAGCGCCAGTGCCGCTTCGGCGAGTGCGTTTCTCGCAGCGTCCGTCGAGCACTCTTCCAAGTGCATGAGGATGCTGCCATACGCAATTGTGTTCGGGACAGCGCAGGTATCTTGACTGTCGGTGGTGCTATCGCAGCTGGTTGGCGTGATGCGGAAGAGGTCGATTGGGTCCGAGGCCGGCACGACCTTGGACGACCGATGCTCCGAGAGCGTTCGCCCTGTAAAGGTGGGCGGCGACAGAAGCGGTGACATGTGCGTCCATTGCGGCAGCGTGTTGAGGTCAATGGCGCCGACGAGCGAGAGAAGACCGGCCACCGCCGGCCACACGGCGATCCTGCGCATGAGTTTGCTTTTGGGGCCTCACTTCGGTCGAAGCCACAAATCGAAGTTCGAAGCGGCACGCGTCCGAGCTTTGACATGGGCCCTATCCTGTCCCAGAGCTTCGCCCAAGAAGAGCCGAGTGCGAGCATCAGCAGTACATTTAACGCTGGGGTCTGACGATGGCGTCAGACGAGGCTTTTTGCTATAATACCAGCCACTGTGCCTGCTTTGCAGAATCCTTGTAGTCCGGTACGTGCTTCGACTCAGCGATCTCGTAGAGCTCTGCAGGGCATGAGCACCAATCGAACCCCAACACCGCACACTTGAGCCGGCAAAGGAGCTGCGCTGCGTGGTGCGCAAGGTGCAAGCAGCAGAGTGCAGAGTGTTCA